TAGGATATATAGCACTTTCAAGGCTAGCCTGGGCTACATGAGACACTCAAATAAATGACAACTTGGCCTTATGAGTTATCTGTTGTTAGTGAGATTGACATCTCCCCATGTCCCTGTGCATCAATTACTTTGGATGGCTCACCAGCTCTGGTTGGCCTCTCCCCTCTCTCTGGTGGGGTCTCACATACCGTTCTGTGCCTCCAGGTCTGTGACCCACACTCTGTGGTAGCACCTTATCTGTGGGTCGCTCTCCAGCTTCTTTCCCTCTGATTTTGGTTATGTTTCTCTTGAGCATGAAGTGGCTGTGAATGTTTTTGCCTAGGGCAGCTCTTGGCTATTTTCTATATATTTTATTTATTTATTATTTTATGTGTATGCCTGTATTGCCTACACATATGTAAGTGCACCTGTGGCGTGCAATGCTCACCAAGGACAGAAGAGGTCATAGGATCCCTGGAACTGGAGTTATGGACAGTTGTTAGCTGCCATGTGGGTGATGGGATTCAAACCTGGGTCTTCTGAAAGAACAGTCAGTGTTCTTAACCATTGAGCCATCTCTCCAGCCTCGACTATTTTTTTGTGTGTGATTCTTCTCACTTTCAAGCCCTGCGTATCCTGGGAGTGAAGATGCTGTGGGCCATCTGTCCATCAGTGCCTCAGCCTCTGGGTATTCCCGAGCTGTTAGTGTCAAAGCCTGGGTTCTAGCGGACCCATTGGCCACCAGTCCCCAGTGTACCAATTACAGAGACAGGGCAGTGAGATGGCTTAGCATATAAGGATGCTCACTGCCAATGCCTGATGGCCTGAGTTTGAGCCCCAGAACCTACGTGGTGGGAGAGCTGAGTCCCGAATGTCGTCCTCTGACTACCACACACATTATAGTGTGATGCATGCATGTGCACACACAGAATAAATAAATAAATAAATAAATAAATAAATAAATAAATAAATAAATGTTTTAAAGTAGATGAGAGAAAAGTAGAGAAAGGATTTATCCAATGTGGTCACACTGGGAAGAGGAACAAATAGGTTCAGTGGCCTCCAAGTCCATCTTCTGGGTCCTGACAAGAGGTTTAGGTTTAAGCAGAGGACAAGAGGTGTGACTAAGTAAGCACCCTTCTCAAAGTGTGGTCTGCTGACAAGAGGTTTAGGTTTAAGCAGAGGACAAGAGGTGTGACTAAGTAAGCACCCTTCTCAAAGTGTGGTCTGCTGGTTATCTTTGTCTGGCTCTAGCTTCTCCTATGAAAATTTCCCCAAAACAGCCTCCCCCCGTGGCTGGCACAAGGCTTCAACCTTTCCCTCCTCCCAGCCTGACATGCCTGTGGGAATTGCAATTTCTAGAGGTGCATTTCAGTGGTCTGACGTCTAAGGGAGAGTGCACTTCTCCCTTTACAACATCTTCCCTCTTCCCTCCTGCCAGGGCTTGGGTGATGTCCTGGCAGGTCTTCCCTAAGTTCCTCTTGTGTGTTTCCCTGATGGACTGTGGGGCCCCCCACCACCTCTGGGTGTGTGTTTCCCTGATGGACTGTGGGGCCCCCCACCACCTCTGGGTGTGTGTTACCCTGATGGACTGTGGGGTCCCCCCACAGGACACTCCTGGGACTGTCCTGCTGGAGCTTGAGAGCCCTGAGCTTGTCTGCGAGGTATTCCACAGCCCTGTTTCTTTCCAAACTTGCTGGGCCTGCCTCTGCAGACTCACCTGTGCTTGGTCCTTGGAGAAACTGAAGTTTGGAGTGAGGATCACTCCCTGCCCTGCCTGATCTTGTCAGCGGCTGAACAGCCCTCCAGCCCTGAGCAGCCTGGAGCAATTTCTCACTTTGAGCCTTTGAGAACTGAGCGAGTGGGGCTCAGCCCTGGTCTTGAGTGAGAACTGAGGCTTCTTTGGAAACGTAAGTCAGAGGCCTTGAGGCAGAAAGAGGACAGTGACCTGGTGAGGGTGAGCCCAGGCATGGTAATGCCCTTCCTTCCTAGAAGGCTTGTTTTCTGTAAAGTTGGGGCAACCCCTTTTTATTCCATCTGTATTTCTTGCAGGCCTGCTTGTGGGTCTAACACTGATATCTAATGACAATTCAGAGCAAGTCCTTCCTCTAGGAGTACACGGTGGTGTGCGTGTGTCACACCGACTGGGGATAGGGTTCTGGTGGCAGCAAAACAGGATGACAAAGGTGGTCGTGGGGCACATTTGACATGGAGGCAGGAAAGGCCCCCTGAAGAGATGACATCTGGATCAGACCTGAGTGGGAAGGAGTCACCTGTGCTGGCATCCACTGGAGAGACTAGAGGTAGGGGAGGAGCCAGTACACAGGCCCCAGGGCCAGAGTCCACCCAGTATCACAGGGCAGGGGCCAGTGTAGCCAGGGGGCAGGCAGGACACCACTGTAGAATGCTGGGTAAGACTTTGGATTTTATTTCCAACTGGACAAGAAGTCCCTAAGGGAGGAACAGAAAAGGCTTTTTTTCTTTTTTTGTACCCCAGGCTGGCCTGAAATTCATGTGGTCCACGCTGGCCTCTGACTTCCAATCCTCCTTCCTCAGGCCTCCTGAGTGCTGGGATGACAAGTGTGTGCCATGACATCCAGCTTAGGAAAATATCTTTTACTTTTTAAAGATTTATTTATGTGTGGTGTGTGTGTGTGTGTGTGTGTGTGTGTGTGTGTGTGTGTACAGTGTGCATTGTAGAATCCCATAAAAGCCATAATAGGGCATTGAATCCCCTAGAACTGGAGTTACAGGTGGTTGTTAGCCACCATGTAGGTGCTGGGAACTGAACCGGATCCTCTGCAAGAGCAGCCAGTGCTCTTAACTGCCAAGCTATCTCTCCAGCCCTAGAGAATACCTATTAAGTAAAGCTCCTCCAGCCTGACCATTGGGGTAGAAGTGGAGGCTGACACTTGGGCAGTGGACATGGTCCCAGCTTAGAGGGGCTGGTGGCCACGGGTGACACTAGTAGGTGTCTGATAGCTACATGGCTGCTGTGACATTCTGCAGGAGCCCAGGTAGGCAGGAGCTGCCACAAGCACATGTGGATGTGGCTCTTAGTGGGTGGGAGACTAGGCCCTGGGTCCCTGGAACCCTGAACCTCCAGAACTGTCCCCTCATGAAGCCATACTGGGAGGAGCTTGCTTTGGTTACGTGGATACTTGAAGCGCAATGCAGAGATGGCCTGTTGAGTGTTCTTTTTTGTTTGTTTAATATTTTATTATTGTTTTTATTTTATATGTATGAATGTATTGCCTGCATGTATGTAAGTGTGCCCATGTCATGCAGTGCCTGCACAGGTCAGAAGAGGATGTTGGATCCCCTGGAACTGGAGTTATGGATGGTTGTTAGCCACTGTGTGGGTGCTGGGAATCGAACCTGGCTACTCTGCAAGAATGGTAACTGCTCTTTAACTGCTGAGCCATCTCTCTAGCCCCTCTTTTCTCTTTTCTTTTCTTTCTCCCTCCCTCCCTTCCTTCATCCCTCCCCCCGACCCTCTCAGTCTTTTTGAGACAGGGTCTCCCTGTAGCCCCAGCTGACCCAGAACTCTCTATGTAAACCAGGCTGGCCTCGAACTCACAGAGATCCGCTAATGCCATTATTATGGTTTTGTTTTTTGTTAGTTACCTGGGCACCCTAGAAACTACTGCCAGGCGACTTTGCTTCCTGGTACTGGGGGATGGAACCCATGACCTTGCTCGTGCTGGGCAAGTGCTCAGCCACTGAGATGCCCCCAGTCCTGAGGCTGACTTCATATCAAAGAATGAAAAGAGGCCTCCTGGAAGGACAGTGACTCACACTTGTGAGCTGCCTTGCGGTGGCATGGGTTGACTGAGTCACAGGCTCCTGCTTCTCAGGCCAGAGTTGCTTCTGTGACCACCCGGGCATGGTCCTTCGGTGTGGCTCTTCATCCAAAAGACTCTAGGAACTGACGGTAAAACCCTGTTGGAAGAGCTGAGTTTTACCTGTGATAGCCAAGCCTCTGCCTCATCTGTAGAGTTGGGCATTAGCTGCTGCAGATGGGAGGCAGGAATTTCTGGAGCCAGTGGATAGTGTGTGTTCCACCGGTCCTATGAGCCTGGGGCAGCTGTCAGAGCTGTTGGCACCCCAGGTCTACCTGGGGCTGGCAAGGCTTGCTGACCCCGACCCTTTCCCCAGAAGGGACCTTCTCTTTCCCTCCTGCCCTGGCATGTGTCAGGCCAGGCAGGAGCAGGAGGGCCACACACTACTGGCAGAGGGCCCTGGGCGAGGGCTGGCTCTGAGTGTTGGTTCTGTGGTGTGGCTGGAGCCTGCTGCTTGCCATTAGCCCCTATTCTGGGGAAAGAAAGAAGCCCCATAGTTTAATACCTAACACAAGGTGACAATTTGTTGAGCCTCTAAAGAAGGAAGCCAGCCTTTAACACAGGAAGTGGAGGTAGGAGGATCTCTGTGAGTTCAAGGCCAGCCTGGTCTACACAGTGAGTTCCAGGCCAGCTGGGGCTACAGGGAGACCCTGTCTCAAAAAAGGAAAAAAAATAGAGAAAAAAAAAGGAAGCCAACTTTGCTGACCCTGCCATGTGCCAGGCACTGACTGTTCCATCTGGGGTGCCAGGTAATCTGCATGTACCCAAAGAGGCCTGAAGCTGAACTTCCTGTCCTCTGACACCTGAGAAAGTGGCAGAGCAGAGGTGGAAACCCAGATCTTTCCTTCTAAAGCCTGTGGGTTTTTTCATCTTGAATAGGAAATGGTCACACATTTATCATACAGAAATGTCATTTGTAATAAAAAGCCAGAAAGAATGAAAATGGGAACCAATCTGGCATGCTCTTGAGGGGTTCCTGTCGGCCATCAAGACGGGCTTGGCTGTCCCTTTAAGTCAGATTCTCAGTGGGATTTTGAAGCCTGAGGGGAGCGCTGGGGATGTCTGCAGTAGTGCTGGAAGATCTCCCCAGCAAAGCCTTTCTGCTCAGTGTAACCAGCCCTTCAGTGACGTCCTCTGGAGCCTAGATTTTCCTTCTCTGAAGCTGCTGATTCATTCACCGGCTGGATGGAGTGTGCTCAGCCAGGCCAGCAGCTCTCAGGCTGCCACTGGGTGGAGTGCTAGGCCTCTGGGGAGGTGTCCCCAGCTTCTCTGATGCCCATGGGTGGGGGTGGGGTCCTGAGGGAGAAGGCAGAGCATCCCAGTCCTGTCAGATTTCTGACCAGAAATGCAAGTGGGGAGGACTGGGCTGGGCCAAGGTCGGAACCAGGGCCAGGAGGGTCCTTTCCCACTCCTCTGGCCTCCTCCCGCAGGGTGCTTCAAGGATGACCGCATCGTCTTTTGGACGTGGATGTTTTCTACCTACTTCATGGAGAAACTGGCCCCCCGACAGGATGACATGCTTTTCTACGTGCGACGGAAGCGGGCCTACACCGGTGGCGAGAGCAGTGTCGATGGGAGGAAGGTGGGTGACCCCTCCAGCACCCCCATACCTGTACCCAGAGCATCCATTAGGGCCTGCCTGGTCTGCAGGGGTGCTTCCCTGCAGCCTACGAATGTGTCTGAAGGGGAAAGTTTCCTTCCTGAGCAGCCACCACATTCAAAGAACCTGGGAGATGGTCACCTGTGCTGCCTACTTGTGGGATGTGCCCAGGTGTCTGCTGTGACCCTGGAAGGCATGATTGTTGGCTTTGTAGCTTTGAGGAAACTGAGGCTTGGAGTCCAGCTGAAGTGATCAGCCTCTCAGCAAGTGAGTGAATTGTAGTGCAGAGGTTTGAGGCCCGAGTCCAGGAACTTCTCCTGGGCAGGGCAATGACCGGCTGGTGGTGATCGTGACAGAAGATTGTTTTCCTCTGACTCAGCCCTTACTACTAGAGACTCGGAAAAGCACTTGGCCCTGTCCTTGCTCCCCTTGTGAATTCCCAGCACCTGGGTGGGATGGACAGATAAGGAGACACAGGGCTCAGAGGTGAATCCACCCACCAAAGGCATTTCATGCTCTAAGCATAACTGTGGAGTTCATGAGGCAGAATTTTGTTCACTTCCTGCTTCTCTTTTTCAGATGCTTTAGTGGTTTGTAAAATGTTTAAGCATCCCTCATGCCAAACTTGGAAATGGTTTCTCTGCATTTATGGACAAAAGGCTATGGAGCCAGGTCTGGGTCTTACCGCCTACATGGCTCTAAGCCCAGTACCCTGTGACTTGGGCAAGGTTTCTCAACTGTGGCTCACACTGAGTGGTAGGAGCCCTTTCCCTGTCACAAGCCTGGACACATACAAAATGCATTTGCTGTGAAAGAGGCCTTGGGAGCTATCTTGCCAGGCTGGCATGGAAGGAGACCATGAGTCACTGGCCAGACAGAGGAGGAAGTTAGGGTCTGGAGAAGCAGGTGTGGCTGTCAACTGGACAAGGAACCAGGAGAGTATGGAGGCCTCACAGATCAGCCCCAGTGGCACATGGGTAGGGCAGGGAATGCCCCATGGAAGAAATGAAGCCTAGACATGATTGGCAGGTTTATGTGGCAGGTGTTGGTAAGTGGTACCACTGATGCCAGAACCTTCTGGATAGGGAGGCCAGCCCTGGGCTCCTCAGGTTCACTCCTTTCTGGTGTGCAGTCAGAAATCCAGTTTTCTCCCCTCTAACTTTCCTTATGGCTGTGCCCTGGATCCAGACCTCTCTGGGACTTGGAGCAGACAGTTGGTAAGGGTAGAGCCCTCCCCTCTGAGGCTGGGATGTTTAGGGTTGATGTGACCATAGATGTCCTTGAAGGGATGGGTGTCAGGGAACCTCTGTATGCCGGTGACCTCCATTGTGGGCACCCCCCTCTAGCCCCAGCACAACATAGATGTGGGCCCTGCTCTCACTCAAGGCTTACCTCAGTGTGTGAAGGCCTTCAGGGTGGCATGTTTAGGGTTGATGTGACCATAGATGTCCTTGAAGGGATGGGTGTCAGGGAACCTCTGTATGCCGGTGACCTCCATTGTGGGCACCCCCCTCTAGCCCCAGCACAACATAGATGTGGGCCCTGCTCTCACTCAAGGCTTACCTCAGTGTGTGAAGGCCTTCAGGGTGGCAGGGCTATGGACCTAGCCTCTTCTGGGAGAAGTCAGCAGGAGACAGGGAGGACAGGTGTGTGTTTGCCTTCGACAGGCCTGTGTGAGTCCTAGAAGGACCAGGTGGAGAGAAGGGAGGAGAGCAGATGGTGGCTCTTGGGTGGAAGAGAAGAGAAAGGCAACTTTTCCTTTGAGAAGCAGCCCTCAATCCAAGGGGAGGAGTTTGGAGCAGGAGGGTCCCCAGGGCTATGTCAAGACACACTGAAGATTTGGGGGTGTCGAGGTCATTGTGGGGAGCCTGAATCTAGCAGGAACTCTGAGTACCACTGAGCTACTGCAAATGGCCCTTTCCCCAGCACTGAGAACAGAAATGACACTGTCCTTGGGAAGTGTGTTGGAACTGAGTGACAGCCACAGAGAGGGAGGGAAGAATGGGGCAGTGGGGCTCAGAAGAGGGGACATCTGTCTGCAGGATTGTAGGACAGGGCCCAGCAGTTGACAGAGGACATACTGTGGCCCCTGCCTGCTGGGAGAGGGATCCCAGGCACAAGTGCCCCAGGTGATTTAGTGTGTGACGTCACCAGCAAAGTGCCCTGACCTTAGTTCTACATATAGGGAGGAGGAAATGTACCCAAACCCAGTGACAGGAGACCCAAGAAGAGAGGCAGCAGTCTTGCTCCTTGGTGACTCCACGCAGGCCTCAGGGGAAGTGGGAGCTCCATCCCTGAGACAGCCCATGCACTGAGGCATGGTCATCTGCCACCTCTGCATGGATTCCTGGGAGGGCTGACTGGGCGGTGTCTGATACAGGGTTTGGAAGGCCAGGCCTAGGGTTAGGAAAGGCTACCCAGACTGGACATTTTTCCCAGGCCAGCAGTCCTGCAGAGGGCAGGCAGGAGGTGCTGGGAAGCCCCAACCCTCCAGGAAACAAGCCCCAGCCCAGGGCTGCTGAGGTGTGGGCTCCCAGCCTGCATTCGAAGTGTTTGGCGGCAGGCGAGCACCCCACTGTCTCCCACCCCTTTCAGTCTGCTGGTACAGGTTGTCATGGCAACAAGCCTGGCTCCCTGCCTAGCTGAGGAGGGTGGATTGGCAGAGCCAGAGCTGCAGTGTGGGTGGGCTTGGGGTGCTCCTGGGTGCTCCTGGAACCTTGGGATTTTTTCCATCTTCCGTAGCATGTCAGAATCCCCTGTGCTGACTTATGTCACCCTGGACAGTCCCTGTTCTCAGCAGCCCGTTTTGTCTTTGACAGTGAGGGATATGGGCATCTGTTTGTTTCTTTGCCTATGCCAGTGGCCTCATATTCATGACCTCAGCAGTCCTGGGGTGCAGATGACCCCAGATCTACACAGAACACCAAAGCTCAGAGTCATTGAGGTGCCTGCCTGGGTCCTTCTGCCTCCTGATGCCACACCATGACTCCTGGTTGTGTGCTTTCTCCTTTGGTAGTTTTTCTTATCTGTAAAAGATGTGCCAGTGTGTACAGGTTGGTGGTCTTCTGTCTGTGTGAGTCTACTGCGCACCCAGGTGGGTGGGCCGTGCCTGTCCTGAGCTCACACAGGTGGAGTTCGGTGTGTGCTCTGGCTGCGACTTCCTCTTGGCAACACTTGGGAGTGTGCCCGTTGACACAGGGGCTGTGATGGCAGTGGTTGCTGTGTGCTGCTGGGTACCACCCATCTGCCCTTCTGTGGGTGAGTGGGTGAGTGGGTGTCTAAGCAGCTCCGGCCTGTTCTCGGACACACCGGGAGTCACTGTTCCACTGTTCAGTGTGCTGCGGTGCTGACCCAGCACAGCTGTGCACTTGTTTTTCTTGGCCTGCACTGAGCCAGCAGAGGTCTGCTGAGCATCTGCCACATGCGCAGTGTGCACTTGCTGCCTGTGTGGGGCTGGGTGGGTTTTCCTTTGGGGAGAAGCAGCTGGGGTTCAGGATGGTAAGTGCTGCGAGAACAGAAAAGTGGCCCAAAAAGGCAATGAAGTGAGACCAAAGGGAGGACCCCAGGGAGCACCAGGAGGAGAGCACCAAGGGGAGGCAGAGGGGGAGCATTGGGAGGAAGCACCAGCTTTGCGTTTACGTCACCTGCTCAGAGTTTAGGTGATTTCCACAACCACACATGGAAAGTAGGAGTCATGCCCCACCCTATCCCATCCAGAACCCCCCTCCCCCGTGGCATACCCCTGAGGCACTTCTGCACAGATCCCAGCTCTGCCTCTGTACACTGGCCTGTGCCCCTGCAAGAAGCCCAGCAGTGCCCAGCAGGAGCTCAAAGAAGCCCTCCTGGGCCTACTAGGACTCAGTCTCAGCCCTGCCCCCACCAGGACAAGCTGTGTCAAAATCTGCTTTGCCTCCCCCCTCTAATGCTCTCCTCCCTGGAGAGGGGCAGATGGCTGCTCCGCTCTCTTTGATGGTTGTCTAGTATCTAGTATGTGATCTTCAGCCTGTTTCAGTGGGATTCACGGTGCCTTTCTTGCAGACAAACAGGTTGATAATCTGTAAAGCATGGAGCCCAACCACTGCTGTTCACTGTGAGCCCAGCAGGCATTGCTGTCCTTAGCAGCACTTGGGAAATGCATGATCCTTTAAGCATCACAACTTTGAGAGGAAGATGCTGTTAGTCTGTTGTACAGATGAGGAAACTGAGGCTCCAGGGGAAGAGTAGATGAGGGCTGGGGATGGGGGTCTTGTCTATGTTACTGCCTGCCCAGGGCAGCCGTCAGGATGTGGAGAGCTGCAGGGGACCCTGGAATCTCACTCTGTCCTATGTTGCAGCTGGCTGAGGCTGAGCCGGAAGTAGAGGTGGAGGTGTACCGGCGGGACTCCAAGAAGCTACCGGGCCTGGGAGATCCCGACATTGACTGGGAGGAGAGCGTGTGCCTGAATCTCATCCTGCAGAAGGTATCGGGTGGGGTGCCATAGGGTATCCATGGGTCCGAGGGACAGTGACCCTCATACATGCTGACCTGTGCTCTCTTGTAGTTGGACTACATGGTGACCTGTGCAGTGTGCACCCGTGCAGATGGGGGGGACATCCATATTCACAGAAAGAAATCCCAGGTGAGCCCAGGTGCAGGAGCCAGGCCACCCCCCACCAACCCCGCCCCAGCAACCCTCTGGTTACCTGTTCTGGGACTTGTCCCCCTCCTTTCTCTTCTGCTTCCCTCCCCCTCCTCCTCCTCACTTTTCTATCCCTGAGGCAAGAGGTTGACTGGTTTTGTGCATCCACCCACGTCCCTCGGATGCATCTCTGGCTTTGGACTGAGTCTGAGCAGCGTGGCCACGTGGCCTGTACCTGCGATGCCTCTGGGCCACCCTCCAGGCAAATATTTCATCCCTTTCCATCTGCTTTTTTTCAGCAAGTATTTGCATCCCCCAGCAAACACCCCATGGACAGCAAAGGGGAAGAATCCAAGATGAGTTACCCCAACATCTTCTTCATGATCGACAGCTTTGAGGAGGTGAGCACTTGCCACTGGCCACGCTCCACTTCCCCTCTCAGGACGTTTGAGACTGACACCCTGTAATCCTCACAGGAGACTTGGGTGTCTGGAGCAGGGAAGGTTCTAGACACCAGCCAGTGTGGCTCCCCATCTTCCCAGTGTTTAACCTGGGACAAGTTCTCCTTGCTCTGAGCCTTGGTTTCCTCATCTCTAAAGTGAGCATCAGGACCAGGTTTCCTACCCAGGGGTCAGGGTTGGCAGCCTGAGGATTGCTGAGTGGAAGAACACCGGCGATGCTTACAGTAAACGCTGCCTGGCCAGGAGCAGCTGTTATTTCTGCTGCTCTGTGATTGACCATCTCTGCCCATGCTACTCAGAATTTCAAGGGTGTCAGAGAGGGTGGGCCTTCAGTCCTGTGACCAAGCCTCTGTTGTAAAGCTAGGGAAAAGGGCCTGGAAAACACTTAGAGAAATACAGATGCCAGGAGGTGTGGGCAGGGAGGCTGGCCATCCCACTCTCTGCTAGGCTCCTCTGTTGAGGCTCTTGGGGGAGGGTCCTTTGGGCTCACCCAGAGATGGTCAGAGAACCTGCGGAAGTGCCTGCAGCTCGGGGTGACCTGCTCTCCCCAGGCTCACTCTGCTCAGCTATTTACTGCCTGAGTCTAACCTTGAAGCTCATGTCTGTGTGGCAGCCCCTGGGAGCAGCAGCTCTGGTTGGTTGTTTGCACCCAAGCTCCAGTGCTCTTCTCCTAGGCAGGTGGTACAGGCTCACATGGAGCCAAGGTCAGGGCAAGGTGGGCTGGACAGGGCTGGCAGGAAGGAGGTCCCCAAGTGTCTGCACAGCCCTTGTAGCTTTAACTTGGTATGAAACAGCGGGATGAAGGTTCTTCAAGAGGCTGGGCTTGGAGTGGGTGGCACCCCCAAGCAAGGCTGCTCCTATCTGTGAGGATCAAAGGCTGGGTGGTGGAGAGCTGGGTAGCCTTGGCAAGTGAGCTGACCTCTTCTCAGGGTCCTCTGCAGAATGGGGTCTTTCCTCCTTTTCTTTCTCTTCTCCCCCCTTCCATCTCTCCTCTTCCTCATCCTCCTCTTTCTCCTTTTCCTCCCCCCTTCCTCTTCCTCTTCCTCTCCCTCTCTATTTCTTTCTGGAGATGGGCTCTCACAGCATAGCCCACTCTGGCCTCAAACTCCCCATCTTCCTGCCTCAGCTGCCCACATGCTGGTGCTGGGATTACAGGTTGTACCATATCCAGCTCATACCTTCGAGGTCAGGCCAGGGTGTGGTTTACGTGGTGGCACTGACATTTGATGTCCCTGCCTCCTCTTCTCCCACCTCAGGTGTTCAGTGACATGACTGTGGGGGAAGGAGAGATGGTCTGCGTTGAGCTGGTGGCCAGTGACAAAACCAACATGTTCCAGGGCGTCATCTTCCAGGGTTCCATCCGCTACGAGGCTCTGAAGAAGGTGTACGACAACCGCGTGAGTGTGGGGCTGTTTAGGGGTGCTTTGGGAAGGCCTCCATCCCAAAGCACCAAGTGCATGGGCACTTGATGCCCACAGCTGTGCTAAGATTCCCCCCCCCCCAATCAGGGCACCTACTGCCCCTCTGGCAGCTCCTGGCCTGGGTATATAGTCTGCCTTATGTTCTTTTGTCTCTGCCCACCTGTGTCCATCTTTGATAGAGGTGGGGACTTGTCCCTCTGAAGTTCCCTGCAGGGTAACAGCCGGTGGTGCAGTACTCTGCCTGCCCCAACTAGCCCCTGACTAACTCAGTGGAGAGAGGAGTCCAGGTGGACAGGCCACTGCTATGGCTGGTGCCACAGCTTGGAGTCAACACTGCAGTCTGTGTGGTGTGATGGGGAGACTCAGAGCAGTGAGAACAGACTTGGCCAGGGCTCCAGAGCACAATCCCCATCAGACCGTCTATTGTGCTTGCCTGGGTTCCCTGTGGCGCAGACAACCCCCAAGGATGGCCTCGGAGATGGTCACACTGGCTGCTGTGTCCCAAGGGAGAGGAGCCAGCCCCACAGCACTGACTTAGGCCACATCCCACCCGCTGCAGGTGAGTGTGGCTGCTCGCATGGCCCAGAAGATGTCATTTGGCTTCTATAAATACAACAACATGGAGTTCGTACGCATGAAGGGGCCTCAGGGCAAGGGCCATGCTGAGATGGCGGTCAGCCGCGTGTCTACTGGGGACACATCCCCCTGTGGAACCGAAGAGGACTCGAGCCCAGCTTCACCCATGCACGAACGGGTAAGGGCTACATGGCCAGGGGAGGGGCCTCCTGCCCCATGGATTTACTTTCCACACACCTTGTTACCCCACAGCCCCTGGCTGAGGGAGATTATCACCTGGCCACCAGCCCACCACTGCTGATAAGGAGACAGCCTCAGAGAGGAAGTGACTTGTATAAGGTCACTCAGCAGGCTTGTGCCCTGGCCAGAGCTTGCTCTGCCTCTAAGCTGCTGTTGCTACTGGGCTGAGTCTCAGAAGTCATGGGCAGAAGGGACTGACTAGGAAGGCAGGTGTGGCCCTGGTGCCCTCCTGGGTAGACCTGCTGGGCAGCTATGGGCATACAAGCCCTTCCACAGTGGGTCCTACAAGGACAGCCAGTAAGCACAAAGGGGTCACCCAACTCCTCTCCTAGCCTGGCCATTTGTCGAGAGGGTTTGTCGGTTAGCAGTAGCCCCATGGGCAGGCCTAAGCGTTCCCACTCACAGACCTGGAAATTCAGGCTGCTGCCCAGGCGATGTGGCGCTGAGGGCTCAGCACAGGCCTAAGCCTTGCTGGTTAAGAGTGCTCTGTCCCCAGGTAGAGAGCCGAGGCCAGTGGCCATGTGACAGGCCCCAAGGCAGGTAGGAAAAAGGCTCTACCCACCATCACAGTGTCAGGAGGCTGCCTAGAGCACTAGGTGGGCCAGCTCTGCTGTTCATGAGGCTTTGGGCAAGTCTCTTTCTCTCTGAGCTTCTGTTCTCTCATTCAGAAATGGGGTGCGAACCTACTTCCCAAGGTGTGGGGGCTCCTTGTGCGAGACTTGGCCCTGCAGAGTGTCCCCAGATAGGCACAAGGTTTCTTTCTGCAGCTGATGTCATGGAAGTAACACTCAGGAGCCGACTGGTGGGTGGGTGGCTCCCTTGCATTCCTTCCTGGCTGCCTATTTTTCTTTCTGGTGGGATCTTCTGGTCAATCAGTGTCTTTTCTAAACCAAAGAGAAATGCATTTTTTCATGGACTGTTGAGTCCAGTTCCAGGGAGGGGTCCCTCCTGTCTAGGAAATGGAGAGGGTTAGGTGCTGAGCTCTTGGATGAGGGGCCTGTTCTGCTGTTTAACATTGCTCAATGGGATCCTGAAATGATGTGTGTGTGCCAGGTGCGCAGAAGGGCCTGGGCCCAAAGGCTGCACAAAGCTGAGTGTTTGCGACGTGGCCTACCCAAGCCTTGATTCCCCCATCTAACAAGCAGGAGTGGCTGTGAGGGGCAAGAGGCCCCTGGCCCTACATAGCAGGGGTTTCTGGGATCCGGGTAGGAGTTGTGAGGTCCTGCTGCTCACTGCAGGCCCCAAGCCTGCTGCTCGTGTGCCCACTGTTGCCCGCCCTCCCATCCTCAGGGGTCACTGTAACCAGTGCATGACAAATGCAGACTGTGTGTATTGTGGTTTCTGGTGTTTGTTTTTTATCTCTTAAAACCTTCCCTGGCTTGAGGGAGGACCGTCTGGAGCCCAGCAGCCGCCGGAACTTTGGTGGATGTCGGAGCTATGACGAGGAGGCCGATGGGGCTCCCGAAGTCTCCAGCTCAGCTTGCTGCTCCGATTCTTGTTTGCGTGGGGAGGAGGGAGGAGATGGGCCAAGTTCCCTCTGCCTGGAACGCCCTTCCCCCCCTTCTTCACCTGGCGAACTCCTACTCGTCCTTCAAGACCCAGCTCAAGCCGCACCTCCGGGAAGCCTACCCCTGATGGCCCAGGCTGTCTGTCCCTTCTACCGTGCTTCCGTGTCCTGTGCTTCCCTCTCTCCATCTCAGTGGCCAGCATGCAGTCTGTGGTTGTCACTTCCCAAGTCTGTCACCCCCAGCAGACTGTGCGCCCCTTGAGGGCAGGGACCTATGTCTTGTGCCTGTCTGTGCCCACCTCACCCCTAGTGAGTGTGGAAAATGCTGGTGATGGGGACTGGATGTGCTTGGAAGGGAGGAGAGGCAATGGGAAGAGAGTTGCTTTGCCTAGGTACTTAGGGAGAGGGGGCTGGGAGCAAGAGGGAAAGGGGTCTGTGGGCCAGAAGACATCGGGGGTGGTCATCTGAAGTCCCCATTTGCCGTCCTCCTACTACTGGGTGGCTGTCAAGGTTGCTGTCCTGCCTCATTCATCAGATGGGCCATTGTGAGCCTCTGTGAGGGGTGTGGCTGGTATGACGTGGCTAAGGGCTCAACAGGTCAGCAGCCCAGGACACCAGCCACGCTTTGCTGTTGAGATGTGGAAGAGCCCCTCTGTTGGTTTTGGTGGCAACCTGCTTCCTCCTCAGGCAGTGCTGGCAGTCAGGTACTCTGCTAGTCTCCAGTGCCCTATGTCCCCTCAGCCGGGACAGCTGACCCTCAGACCAAGGGCAACTGGGTATGCGTGGATGACGAGTGGCTTTGGGGCCCCACAGCAGGCTCTGTTCCTGCCACTCTTGTGACTTGGCCCTCTTATTCCTAGGTGACCTCCTTCAGCACCCCTCCCACACCGGAGCGGAACAACCGGCCCGCCTTCTTCTCCCCATCTCTCAAGAGGAAGGTGCCACGGAACCGCATTGCGGAGATGAAGAAGTCACACTCTGCCAATGACAGCGAGGAGTTCTTCCGAGAGGATGACAGTGGAGGTGACTGGTCCCTCACTCTTCCATCTCCTTATCTGGGCTCCCTGGGTCAGCTTCCCTCACTCTGAAACCCTTCTGTCCCAGGGTGAACTTCAAGGTTACTCTGGCCTGTCTCTGCCTCCTCTGCCTCTTACTCTACATCAAGAGTCATCCTAACTCATGCCCTCCCCTCTGGCCTGCCAGTGACCTTCTGGTGTCTGCCTAAGGTCCCTGCTTGGCTGCTTGGTTCCACCCATTTCTCAGTGGTCCACACCACCACCAGAGGACCATGCACCTTCAGAATGAGAATCCTCAGCCTTGTGGGCCAGGGAAGCCAGGGGCCAGTGGGGACTCTGCCTGTCTTTTAGAAAGCGGTGTTCAGAGAATGGGTGGCCCTCAGACCCAGATTGGGAAGTTTTGGGGGACTCTGGGCATCCCTCACTGTCCTCAAGATGAATTGGTACCATGACAGCCCCATGTGTGTGTGTTGAGTGGATAGAAGGGAAGGAGGGCTTCACCCAGGTGGGCACTGCGTGCTCTCTGGCCCAGGCCCAGGTGGAGGCTGGGCCTGGCAGACTGAAGGGGTTACAGGTCTAGAGGCTGGGCTCTGGGTGTATTGGCATTGGTGAGGAACATCCGTGAACATAGCGTGGCTTGGACACAGCGTGGCTGGGAGGGGGCAACATGCTCCGCTTCCCCCAGGTCCTGTTCTGGGGCACTGACCTGTCTCTCTCCTCTCCAGCTGACCTGCACAATGCTACTAACCTGCGGTCCCGGTCCCTGTCAGGGACAGGGCGGTCCCTGGTCGGGTCCTGGCTGAAGCTGAACAGAGTGGATGGAAACTTCCTTCTCTATGCACATTTGACCTACGTCACCTTGCCACTGCATCGGATCTTGACAGGTAGTGGCTGGGGGGAGACAGGCCCTTGCAGAGCCTCCTGTTTCCAGACCTCAGTGGACTGTGGTTTCCTGAGTTAGTGTCTTCCCTCAGCATCTGTCCCTGAAGCCTTTTCTGACTGGCCCTTGTTGAATGGTTGTCGTTCCTGTGCTTGGGCTCTGCTTGTGGCCCTGGCCAGAAGCCCTGCTGGGTTGAGCTCTGAGTCCCGGGTCCTGCGGGGACCCCAGCCTCCTGGCCTTTGCTGGGCTCTGCAGCTGTGTCTGTGCATTGCTGGTCTGGGACGGCAGAGTGGTCTGGGGCCTCTGCGGCCTGTGGGGCCCAAGTGGAAGTGCATGTGTGCAGTAGCGGTGGCTCCCTCCTAAGGGGGCCAGTGGCCGAGTGCCATCATCCCACCTGCTTCCCTCCTGCCACCCTAGACATCCTGGAAGTACGGCAGAAACCCATCCTGATGACCTAGTGTGTGTGGAGCCTGCACGGAGTCCCGGCCCTGCCCGGCCCTGGGAGCGCTGTCAAGTGCCTACCTGTCACCCCCACCCGGGTCTTCTGTGACAAGCCAGCGCCGGAGTTGCAGCCAGGCAGGGCCGCTCGACTCCTGGGGCCAGGGCCGACTCTGTGAACACCAGCCCAAACTGAAGTGCCTCGTCGTCCTTTGCTGGCTCTGCTCCTACCCTGTTCCCCTGCCTGGCCCCTCAGCCTTCTGGAGAGCCATCTGCTCCAAGGAAGGCCAGAGACACCAAGAGGCCATAGAGCGCGTGAGGGGCCACCAGCTTCCAGAATGTGCCCCTGACCTGGGCTCCCACCCTGACCAGCAGGCAGAACCCAACTGCTGGGGCTCTGCACCAGGCCGACCATCCACACTTCTCTTACATAACCAGTTAAGATTTTGTAATGCTGTACTGATGAATTTCAGTGCCCAAGTCATCCCCAACCTAAGTTCCCCCAGTTATCACTCGTCACACTGGGTTCCCGCCAGAAGATGGGGATCATGAACCCTTTGGAGGCTTTTCCTGGGCTGGGAATACCTCGTCCCACGCCCAGCTCCAGAACGGGCCTCAACCTCAAACTGAACAGACAGGCCCTGATCCCCCAGAATGGCCTTCACTTCCAGCCAAAGAACACCACTAACACTCAGACCTCCAACCCCGAGACGCCCCGCCTCGGTCTCGGCTGGAGGGACCCACAGGACTGCTTCTGAGAGAAGGTGGGAGGGCATGTCTGCTGAGGGGGTGTCTGATGGGGACTGGGGTTGGCGTCTTCCCAGGAAGGTTCTAGGCAGAACCATCCTTAGGCCAGATCTCCGGAGTGAGGCAGGTGCCATCTCCTCTGTGCTGGCCCTGTTCTCAGCCCAGCATCCTGGGTGGAGGAGCAGACTTTACTGTTATGAGCAGACAGTGCACTGGGTGGGTGCAGGTAGCCATGTGCCAATAGTCCAGGCCTCAATCTGGCAGTGTGCTCTCGAGAAAGCTGAGGCCTCCCCTATCCAACTGGAATAAACTGGAAGCTGGGCCTCTTTGTTGTTATTTGGAGTTTGGTGTCCCGAACCCTGGATGACTGGGCTATGTGATAAGCATCAGCTCTGTGGGCTGAGAGCGAGCACAGGGGTGTGCCTCCTGCCTAGCCCCATTCCATGGAGTCTGAGATCGGGAACTACTTTGGGGCTTTCTCTAGATTTTGTATATTGTTATTAAAAGCGAGCTATTGCATTTCATTCTGCCTCGGTTTGCCCACCTGTAAAATGGGTCTGATACCACCTACCTCACTGAAGTCTCCAGGGTTCCAGTGCACAGCTGGGTCAGGGTATAATGGGTCGCCAGTCATTGTGCATAGCTTGGGTTGCATCTTAGGGCTGGGTGTTAGGCAACAGGAGGCTGGCCTCTCCTGCCTGCTCTGGAATAGCTTCTTCCAAAAGGGATGAGGAATGGGTGTGTCCAGGACACGCAGTCTCCAGAAGCATTTGGCTCAGTCTGGAGCACTGGTCCCCATGTACTCTGACCAGTCTCAGTGCATCAGAGCCCAGTCCTGCCTCAGTGTCAGAGCAGCAACATAGGCATTGCCCAGTGGTCCAGGATACCATCCTTCTGCGGGGGTGCGAATGCTGCCCTCAGGTCTGTGTCCAGGGCAGCCACAGCACACCTGATGCTTCAGGAGCCTGGTTATTCTGGGGTCTGAAAACAGAACCTGGGATTTGGGGGGAAATACAGCCTGGTGTGTCCTCGGTGGAAGAATGAGACAGGGCTCAGGGCTGGCTCTGCTAAGCCGGGGTTGCTGTGAGGACCAGTTTCAGGAGTGTGTGCAAGTGCTTCCCAGACTGTAAGGAGGAGGTGTAGAGGGGGTGGAGTAGGTGCCTGTGATTTGGCTCTCTGGCACACAGCACATATTGATATATGCAGGCCTATTTCCAACACTTAGGTACCTTCATCCCTTTGCAGGGTCAAGGGAACTCCCCCCCCGCAAAGAAGCTAAGTGAACTGCTCAGAATTGAGCAGGGCAAGCTGGGCCCCATGCTCCAGTCTACGGCCTGGATGGCACTGCCACCCGCTCCCACATAGCCAGGCATCTGGCTGCATCCCCCTTTCTTGGTCTGTGAATCTTTCTCTGAGGCATTCTGACACCAAATTCAAAACCTGTTCAGAGGCTGTTGCGTGGCTGGAAGCTGTCACTGATGTGTGTTCTTTCAGATAGCTGACATCAGAGAGCTAGGCATGGTGACACACAGCTGCAGATCCAGCACTCAGGAGGCTGAGGCGGGGGATTGTGAGAGTTCCGTAGCAAGATCTTGTCGGAAAGTTTTAGAGCAACAAGTGACAGCCAGGATTGGAGCCGTCTTTTTTTTTCCAGGAACATGCCAGCCCTTTGTCCAGCACAGGATGACCAAAGCATGCGTACGTCTTTTTTTTTTTTTTTTTTTTTTTTTTTTTTTTTTGTCTTTTTGAGACTGGGTCTCCTTGTAGCCCCAGCTGGCCTAGAATTTACTATGTAGACCAGGCTGGCTTTGAACTCACAGAAATCCGCCTGCCTCTGCCTCCCAACTGCTGGGATTAAAGGCGTGCACCACCACACCCGGCCATGTCTTAAATGGAAGTTGGAGTTCAAGTGCAGTTTTCCTTTGAGGAAACCTAGGGTCAACCTTAAAAAGGAAGCTGTTTTCTTCAAAGGGGGAGCCACTGTTTCCTGGCTCAGGGAGTGTCCATCTTGCCTCCCGAGGTCGCACTGGAGTCCCAGGCACCTACAGGAAGCCACCCAGGCTCATTTTTCCAAAAGAAGATTATTATTTAAAACACTAGTAGTGGGCAGCAGCCAAAAGAGAACAGAATTGGGATGTCCCGCAGCCCACCTGTTCTAAGAGATCTGTTAGCATTTAGATGAGTTATAGGGACTGAGCACATCAGCACATAGACAGAGCTCAGTTTCTGTCCACCTGAAGGAAGGACAGAAATGCAGGCATGGTTTTTGTTTTCTGCATGCTCTTAATGTGAGTTTTTCTTAAAAAATCCAGCTAGAATCAAACTGGGATTTGATTTTGCTGTTTTAACAGATGTTACTAGTAGACTTTTGAAAGATAAGGTAAGCCAAGCATTGGTGGTGCACACCTTTAATCCCAGCACTGGCGGAGGCAGAGGCAGGTGGGTTCTGTATGAGGCTAGCCTGGGCTACATGGTGACACCGTTTCAAAATAAATAAATGTGGCATGGCTTCTCTGTGTTCAGGTTTACTCTATCTCTGCCTCCTCTGGGCAGAGCCACCCTGAAAAATAAATACAACACCCTAAAGGACCCAGATACGAAGTACAGGTGCTGTGGGGTGCTACTTGGAAGGCCTGAGATTGCCAACCTAACGTGGCAGGCTCCTTTATTACCTGGGTAGGACTGGTGAGAGGCTGGAGGCAGAAGACAGTGTACTGGAGGAGTTTGAATAGAGGAGCCTTTTGAACCAGCCGTTCAGTGGATATAGTCGGAGTACTGTCCTAGCTCTCGAGGTGAACAGATCTGGCACCAGCAGGGCCTTTCCTGATTGAATAGTGACCTGAACCTCTGTAGGGAAAGAAAGCCTGTGGCCCTTTGCCCTGGGACACGGGGCCGTAACTCGTGGACTGGAGCGGAGCTCAGAGTTCTGTGGTAGGTGGGCTCCCCAGAAACAGAGGGAGCTGTGGGTGTGCTGACAGTCTGTTTACTGTTCTCTATTCCTCCCAAGGCGACCCAGGGCCTTAAGCGAAGTCCTCCCACTCTGCTGTGTGTGAAGTGGTTTGGGGTTTTTTTGGAGACAGGGTCCCATGGAGCCCAGGCTGTCCTCACACTTGCTGTATGGACGACCTTGAGCTCCTGATCCTGCCTTCACCTCTGTGCTGTGATTACAGGTCTGCACCACCACGCCTACTTTTAGGCTGTGCTGGGAATGGAGGCCAGGACTTGTGCATGCCAGGCAAGCACCCATTAAGTGAGCTGCACCCTACCTCTTCCTCACCTTTTAACTTCAGTCCCTGACTGTATGAAATTATCAATCTTTAAGGTTTTCAACCTCATTTTTTTTTTCTTTTGTCTTTTTGAGGCAGGTCTCCCTGTAGCTGCAACTGGCCTGTATTCTCTATGGAAACCAGGCTGGGCTCAAGCTCAGAGATCCGCCTGCCTCTGCCTCCCGAGTGCTGGGGTCAAAGGTGTGCGCCACCACGCCCGGCTTCGACCTCATTCTATCTGTGATTAAATCTGCTGCCAAGAATGTTTTTTTTTTTTTTTTTCCCTACTTCAAGTCCTGTGATGTCTGCAAAATACATTTCAACAAAGGCACTGAGCTGGCTTACATTGAATTTATCAGCACACTAATTGAGTGGTATTTCCATAAGCAGCCACAGCCGGCTGAACATCTCATCCACCAGAAATCTCACGGCAGGCTTCCAGGAGGCTAATGTTGCTTCAGGTTTTCGTGTTTGAGAAGTTTTAGAGGTGAAAATGATTTTTCTTGTTTTCCTCCAGTCTGTAGTTATTTCTCTTATGATACACATTTCAGGTCAGTTACAGATACTGCGGCCCAGCCTAAGGATTGCCTTTTAATTTGCCTCAAGGGCCTTTGCCACAAGCTACTGTTTTGTCATGGTGCAAGTTGGGGCTAATGGAAATTACCCTGTGCTCTGGCTGTTGCTGGCCAGTGAGGACTCTGGGAGCGGGGCAGTAACTGGTCCATCCAGACGTGTGACATTCCTAAAGCTGATCACAAGATCCCATGCAGGGTCCACTGTGCACTCCCATGAGTAGTGTCTACCCTCACATGCAAAGCCTCCCAAGCTTTTCCAAAAGAACCTCTAAAAACTGCCACATCAGTGGGGAGAAGGCTGAAACTAAAGCCAAGAAGCTAGCTAACCTGGCCTTCTGGAAGGCTTGGGTCAGGCCTTTCCCTGTTGCCCGGCATCTCTGCCACTCACCACTACATGGTCTTCTGAGCGTGCTCATTTTCTGGCTGATCTTTCCAGAGCCCACGATTATCAGCAGGGTGACTGCAGGTAGAAACTGTCCCAGCCGGCTACCTTTCACACATGGACACATGAGGTTTCTAAAAATGCCCAGTGAGTTTGTGTCACAAGGACAAAAGGCCTAGGACACCAGAGCTTACAGACAAAAGCTGGGTCTGAGAAGGAACACAGTAAGGAATCAGCCGCTGCCCTAGAAACAGCAGACCAGGAGGGTTTCTGACCTGGCTAGCACCTCCATGGCTAACTACAAGGTGGTGGGAAAGAGGGAGCTAGGTAGGTAAGCCACGCCTCCTGGCTATCCACATCGAAATGCTGGGGCAGTTCCTGAAGCATCTTAGAGGGCATGTGGGAAGTCTCCACCCTGGAGGCTGCCTGCCACGCCCCATTCCTGGCTTGCCTGCTTCAGAAGGCAGTTTGTGGTACCGGGTCTTTTTGGGAGCTACCGTCATGCCCTAGCCTGGAAGGAAATGCTCGCTGGAAGGGAAACCCTTCCAGACTGTATTGAAAGAGAATGCAAACTGCTCTGTCGCCTGGGCAAGAGCCCATCGTATGTATTGTATCCGCGGGAGACCTGTCAAACTCTGTGCTTGTTAAAATGACACAAAGCTGGGAAACTTCCACAGGGAAACACTTGTTTGGGGGTACAGGTGACAAAGGGTTGTTTTCTAACAGCTTCATTGACTTGCCCCCTACAGCTTCATGTAAGCCAACAAGCTAACAAGACTTTTCTCTATGTGGATGAGTATTTTGGAATCTGACCTTTAATAAAACAATTAGGTTGCTCAGTTTGAAACAACCATGGTTTCTAGTGAACTTTGCTAATATTTTGAATAAACAATTTTTCTCAAAAGATTTAAGCCAATTCCAGAAGCCAATTCCAGTGATTTAATGGGCACATATACATGTATGTTGAGGGCACAATGAAGAGCTACAGTCTACTTGCCCTGGGCAAGCCACGTGGCCCCAATTTGTCATCTAAACCCAGGGCCTGGGGTTTTTCAAGGAGCAAGTAGACTGCATCCCCTCCACGCAGCGAGGTGAGACGGCGTATGGTGAGGGCTGGCACTGTTGGCATTGTCCTGGGAAAGCTGCTGGCAACTGCTATGTCCCCCTAGAATGTGCTAGAAAGCACGCCCTCCCAGGCTGTCTGGGACTCACAGGGAGGGAGCTTGCAAGGCAGTGGAAGTTCCAACCCAACAGCTAGTGAAGAAAGCCTTAGGAATTACTGGTGATGGCTGTACTGTACTGCAGTCCATGGCATCAGACACATGAATTAGACCCCAGTCTAAGACAGCATGACTGGGCCTCAACCTGAGGCCCTGGTTCAGTGAGCTTAGGGCAGGGACAAAAGGTCTTCAATCTTAAGCTCCTAGGTATCTCTGGTGCTGGTGTCCGTCAGTCCCTCTCGTGGCACAGGCACAATCTTGCTCTCTGGGGACACCTGCCCCAGTTCAGGAAAAACATCACGGAAAGCCATTCTTCACTGTCTTAAACCAGGAACACCTGGTGACTCAGTGATGCTGTAGACCTTAGGAGCCTCCAGAGCCTGCACACTCCAAACACCGCAACTGCGCAGGCTAGAATTCAAGGTATCTGAAGCGATTTTTCTGTCACCTTCAATTACAAAATGATCTTTTTCTTGATCACTTTTGACCCTTAGCTTCAAAATATCCTTAAGAGACAGGCCCGAACACAAATCCTACATGCACTTTTGCAAGAGAACGGTAACCTTCCTTAGCTCCACACTTGTTTCTCAGGTGAGGACTGCCAGAATGTGCCAGTAGGATGCTCGGCACTCCAGCCAGTTAAGGCTCTGTAATCGCCACTGTGACTTAGTGCAGTCAAGTCCTTGACCTGAATGGTTTCAAGTGGCTCATCCCACTGGAAGAAGTCTGAGGCTAGCCCTCCCATTTCAGAGATCCTGCGTGCTGCCTGAGTGTGGTTCTCCCAGTCAGCCTGGCTACATCAATGCCAAGTACATCACAGAGGAGCGCAAAAAAAAAAAAAAGTCAAAACACTGGTTTCCTTAAACTATTTATTCACATTTCATGGATTGTTACACTTCCTCAATGGGACTAATACAAACTGAGATTATACCGCCTGACAATTCAAGTACTTTAGTTTTTACCAAACAATTTCCTCTTTAAATGATTATTCCATCGGATTGCTAGTTTTGTATGTTAAGGGACTCTACGTTGAGACAGCCCTTGGTCCTGACTACTGAACGTGTGGTGCCTCATGCAGAGCACTGGGCTGAACATCTGTCAAGGGCTCCTGGGTCATTCTCTCAACTCCCACTTCCAGGATGAAGAGACTTGGTCACAGTGAGCACGTAGTCTTCAGAAATAGGAACATAATGGAGCAAGAAAGATGCCTTACTTTCAAAGTGTGCTGAGCAAGTGCTCAGGGAAACCTTTAAACCCCAACAGTAAGGTGGATCCCTTTCCTCTACCCCAGAACATGTTTGTTTGGTTTGGCATGCAGCGTGTAAAAATATGATTTAGAATTGAAACTGTCAAACAGAGAATCGGTCCATGAACAGTCAAGACTTGGCCTCTAAGAGCCAGTGTGCGGTTCCAGTAAGGAAGACAGCGCAGCACTTGATTTTTCGCTTACTAGGAATGTGCAGACACGATCTGTGGGAAGCCGTAGGGCTGGCAGCATGTGTCAGGATGCAGGCAGAGTTAAAGGAGCACACACTTCACGTTAGCGCAAGCAGAGACTAAAGGTCAAAATCTCAGTTCACACTGAAAACACTAAAGGCTAATTCCAAACATAAATGTAGCTAAACCCATGGGTCAGTCAGAACCAGCTGCTAACACCGTGGTGTGAAACAGGTAAACCCTCCAGGGGCCCCTCTAAGTAACAAGGTATCAGATTTTACAGAGAAATGCACACACGCTTGGTTCTTCCCTGTGATCAAGTGGAGAGTAATGAGTTCCTAAAGCATACCAGGCGCTTAAGAAACGCCAAATTTTGGGCTGTGGTCATGTAGCACACTTTTTCCCTGTAAATTTCACTTCCAAGAGATCGACTTAGCAGCAAAAATTTGCTGGGGAATGTTAGGAAAACCAAGCCACATATACCTACTAATTTAGAATTAAAATTGTTTGGGCAGAGTTCAAAAGGCAATTCCGTCATTTTATTTTCTTTTTGGTAAATAGTCATGGCGTATGCAGATGCTCACATCATGAACACCACCATGCTCCTCAAAGTTCCCAAGTTTATGACACGTTGGCCTTGTGGGCACATGTGGCTTAACTGGATTCTGAAAGTTGTTCCCCTCATTGCTTCATTTCAAAGTTGGATAAACCTGACATGAATGGGACAGGACCACCATGAACAGGAGCAGCTGCTTACACAGCGTAGTCCTGAACATCTTGATGCTAGCTAGAGTAAAGGCACAGCTCCTCCTCGGGCGCACAGTGCAGTGTGTCGGACATCCCACGACAGCACAAGCACACCTCTGCATGCATACCCACGTCCTCCCACTGGGATCAGAAAACAGCTTAGCACAGAGCACTCTAAGAAACTCAGACAAACACTGGCCTCATCGCCCTACCTCTCAAGAACTTAAAATTAACCAGGTTTCACACAGCCCCCCACCCCGTCATTTGAAGCAACTGTACCACTTAATTTGTAACTATTTCCCTACGTCAGAACACAGCCAACTATCAGAATATACAAGCGTGAGCCCTTGGGTGCTGATCGTGAGCCTTCAACAAGATCATCTGGTACCAGTACTAAATGTTTTCCTTAGGAATCGAAGTGAAATTTGGACAAAAAAATCCTTTCCTTGTGGGTGGCAGGGTGGCCTGGGGGGTGTCTTACTCTGTAGCGCAGTCTGCCTTGACCTCTCAGTGATCCTCCTCAGCTTTTCCAGTGCTGAGTTCACGGACTGACACACATTAAAGCCTACTGTGAGGTGGTGTGGCCAACACAGTGAAGAACCACAGCTCTCTTCTAAGTGACAGGACGCTGTCCTTAAAAAAATGGATTATTCTGATACCAAACACCTAACACATTGCTGTCTCAGATGTTACGGCAAAAACTGACCCGCTTCCACCTCTTCACTCCGTTCCTAGCGAGTTCACGCGGCTGTGGTGCAGCCAGGCAGCTCTGGACCGTTCAGCAGGCTCTGTCCCGGGCTCATCACAAGCTTAGGTTCCCTTCTTACTATCGTTTCAGTTTTTTAAAAAAAATAAAGGGTTATCTATCGTCTGTGGTATAGGAATGACACACTACCAAATTTGTGCTTTAAAATCCATTATTCCTGGAAACCCCCTTCCATACTGTCTTCAGGGGCTCAGACAGCACCTCATGAGTAAAAACTACAGAAGCAAATACAAAGCCCACAACTCCTCCCTCCACCAGCTACTCCTCCCATTTGAGCATGAGAAGGCAGATGCTGAATGACAGCGGAGCGGCCCCCAGGGTCAAAGGCCAGTACCTGCAAAGAACCAGGCCGGAACCAGCTTGGACAGGGATACTCAGTACCCATAGTCCAGCCTGAAAACACTGGGAAGGACATCTGTCACAGTGTGGCGGCACGGTCATTTGGTAAGAGCGCTAGTCAGACTGACAAGCTTCTTCTGGAGCGCTGTTGGACACAGCGTGGGAAGCCTCCCGGGCAGGCAGGGACCACAGCCCCGCAGACTGACTGGAGGAGCCTTTGGAAAAGCTAATTGGTACCCTGATTGTAGTCCATAAGAGATCATTTAGGTTAATTTACTCAATGAATCATAGTCTTACCAAGCTTCTCATTTGATGATGCACTCTGCACACTGGATGGATAGCTCTCAAGAAGAACAGCTTCTCAACATTATACCCAAGGTTTTATTGGCCTTAATCTTCCTCACAAAAATTTCAAGTTACCTAGAAGTTCTTAGAATGTCAAAGTAAGAAGAGGAGAAAACCTGACTAAGTTGGGGTGAAGGGGAGCAGCAGCTCGGTGACATTCCTCAGCCAACCTAAGGGCTCAGGCACCTTTCTTCTCCTGTAGGATTTTGTGCAACTCGTCCGCATCCTCGCTGGTTTTCACCCGGATCAGCATGGTGGCTGGGACACTGGCATTCTTCTCAGCGAGCGGTGGGTTGGGAACACAGACAATAAGTACATTGTTTCTCCCTGTTCTGGTACACGGCATGTTGGGTGGAATCAGAACATTCAACAGTATGTTGCCTGCAGTTAAGAAGGAAAATATTTATCAAGATTATATGTTAACGAGCCAGGTGTGGTGGCGAAAGCCTGTAGTCCCAGCACTTGGGAGACAGAGGCAGGCGGATCTCTGTGAATTCAAGGCCAGCCTGGTCTACATAGTGAGTTCCATGACAGCTGGGGCTACAGGGAGACCCTGTCTCGAAAAGACAAAAAGATTACATGTTAAAAGCAAACAAACGGCTGAAGATCAGAGCAGAAGCAACTTTGAGATGTGCTGATGGCTTCAGTCACAAGGGCTCCCCTTCTGCTATTAGTGGGACTAAGAGAAGCTACAGATAAATTCGGTGGTTTGATAAGCACCAATAGATGTATGATTTAAAGGAATACTTTTCAAAAAAATTTTAAAGGCTTTTTTTCCCGCCTTTTTGAGACAGGGTCTCTTTGTAGCCCCAGCAGGCATGGCTTGCTATTATATAGACCAGGATGGCCTCAATCTCACAAAGATCTGCCTGCCTCCGCCTCCCAAGTGCTGGAACTAAAAGGCGTGTGCCACCATGCCCAAACAGCTGGCAAGAACCCCCCTCCCCGTTTTTGTCTGAGACAGGGTCTCCCTGTACCCCAGCTGGTATGGCTTGCTGTATAGATCAGGCTGGCCTTGAACTCAAAGAGATCCACCTGCCTCTGCCTCCCAAGTGCTGGGATTAAAGCGCGTGCCACCACACCAGCTGAAACCCTTTTCTTATAGCAAGAACTTTCCACATTGCTCGACCTTAAAACCAGACCTGGGTCTCCGGGAGATGTGTCTAGCACAGAGGGTGCTGCCCACCTTCCCTCCTGGCCAAGTCTCCCACCCTCACTCTGCATCTCACCCCAGCACCCACTCCCAACTGTGCTTGCACTTAGGAAGACTGGTCAGCAAAGAAACAATGTCTCTCTTGCCAGCACACTGGGCAAGACTGACATTTGGGTGATACTATTATAAATTAGTCAAGCCACAGGAAAGCAACATCTCTCAGGAGCTCTTTTCCTGGGAGTCTGGCAGAGCCTCACACTACCACCACACACCAGGCCTGCGGCTCTGAAAGCCCTGCTCTTTCAGTGGACTGTTGCAAGGGCCAACTAAAGTAGGATAGAGGTGACAGTAATGCAGTAACTTCTTGCTCAATAAAAAGGACTCTCTGAGGCTGGGGAGATAGCTCAATTAGTAAAGTGCCCATCATACAAGGCACTGAGGACCCAAGTTCAGATCCCAAGAACCATGTAAAAAGCTGGATGGAACTGACGGGCATGGTGGTGCACCTGCCTTTAACCCCAGCACTCAGAAGGCAGAGGCAGGTGGATCTCTGTCTGAGGCCAGTAGTCTGGTCTACATATGGAGTTCCAGGCCAGCTGGAGGTACTGGAAGACCCTGTCTCAAAAACACCAAACAAAAAAAACAAAAAAAGAAGCTGGATGGAACATATGCTCAGGAACCCCAGGACTGTGGTGAGGGATGGCAGGGACCTGCAGATCCCTGAAACTCACTGACTAGCTAGCCAGCGTGGCACAATCAATGAGCTTCAGGTTCAGTGAAAGGCTAAGCAACTGAGGAAAGACAGTTGATGACAATCTTGGGCCGTCACACACACCAAAACAGAGAGAAAAAAAAGGATTCCTTAAAAGGGTTACACTGGTTCCTATCAAACCACCCTTGTCGCTGGGCGTGGTGGTGCACACCTTTAATCCCAGCACTTGGGAGGCAGAGGAAGGTGGATCTTTGTGAGTTCAAGGCCAGCCTGGTCTACACAGCGAGTTCCAGGCCAGCTGGGGCTACAGGGAGACCCTGTCTCAAAAAAAAACAAACAAAAAACAAACAATAAAAACACCCTTGTCTACAGTTATAAAGGAAATGAAAACCTTTGGTTGCTTTTTACAACACATCTACATTTTCATATACAATTTTCCTGATACTCAAAACTAAGTCCATATTCAATAAATATGAGATGAATTTGACCTAACGATCTTTTCCATTACAGAAAAAACCCAACCTTCGAAATCGAAGGAACTGCTGTGAGTAGAGCAGTTTTCCACACTGAGATCACGCTGCACCCACCTAAATTGGTGTCTGCCCGTACCAAGAGCTGTGTCTTCTGATTTGCTGTGGGTTTTAAATGCAGGGTACCCACACCCTTCTCTTTAAATTCACTGTCTTTCTTGTAAAATAGTTTACACCTATGGGGAAAACAACAGATATGATCAAACATTCAAGAAGTTAGTCTGCTAACAAGCACTGTTTGTACTTGTAAACCTTCATTAAATGAGCAAACATAATGATCCCTCCAGACTAATGGGATCTGGGTAAAGATCAGAACAAGAAACTGTTAGTTGGACATCCTAGAATCCACACCTCCAACACACCATTTTTTGTAGTGCTGGACATGGAATCCAAGATCTTTGACATGCTGGGCAAGAACTTATCGGTGAACTCCAGCCCCAGCCCCATAAACCCACCGTCAAGATCCTCTAAACTCCCTGTTCCATCTCCCTGATCTGCACCTAGGTCTGAACTGCAGAGCAGATCTGACCTTTTAAGGATGGGCACAGACACAGCAATATCCTGCATCTTACACCCCCCCTTCTTATTTTTTCAAATTCTCTTAAGGGATCCTTTAATTTTCAATCCCCTAAGATGGTGAGATATCCTAAGAGGGCTTGAATAAGTCTAAAGGGACGCAGTGTTTCTAGGCCTATGTCAGACACAACCTGTTTGGTAATTAAGACAAAACTAATGGTTGCTCATTTAACTTATGAAAGAATCCCCCTTCAAACAAACAAAGTTATAAAGTCAAGATCATTCCTATGTGTCACTTGTGTAATTTTTTTTTTTAATTAAAAATGAGTAAAACTATACTGGGTGTGATAGTGCACGCCTTTAATCCCAGCACTCGGGAGGCAGAGGCAGGCGATCTCTGTGAGTTTGAGGCCAGCCTGGTCTACATAGTGAGTTCCAGGACAGCTGGGGCTACAGGGAGACCCTGTCTGATAAAGACCCCCCCCCAAAAGAGAGTAAAACTCCAGGTACCACAGATGCCTCCAGGTTTATAGCAGAAGCAAAGCCTAACTTTAAAATCAGTGATGATGTGATTTTTCTCGGGGGTGGGGGGAGAAGAGAAAGGGATGTGCTAAGGAACAGGAGGGTCACAGAAGTCTCTCTAAAGCACTTTAAAAGGAGAGAAACGCTAAAGCCACAGGGGAGCTAAGATGTCCAGCAGTAAATTTTTAAAATTGGTTAGTTTTAAAATTAACCAGGTCAAACATTTTTCCCTACTCCAGTTCAGAGCCCACTGACCACAGGCCACGATGAGGCCAGGCTACCCCATGGCCCCTCCCATCCCTAGGGTGCCCTGCTGACACCACTCACCTTTTGGAGTAGAAAGCATCCTCCTCCTTCACTTCAGTGACAACCACTGTGGGCGGCTCATCACTCTCCTCTTCATCTCCACCTTGCACAAAGACAACTCAGTGAAGCTCAACCAAGTCAGCAGAAGCTTGCTACCCAACCCCCAAGCATTACCTGGAGTAAGTGAGCACCTTGCTTTTTTAGGGGAGAGACATGCCAGCCGGGTTTTAACTCTCTTCCCCAAAAAATAGTAATTTAAAATTTGTGTGTATGTGCTCATGGTATGTGGAGGTTGGAAGGTTTTCTCCTACCATGTAGGCTCTGGGGAATCAAACTCAAGTCCTCAGGTTTGGCAACAAGCACCTGTACATGCTGAGCCGCTTCACAGCCCTAAATAATCATTTTTTAAAAAAATATTTTATTATTTTTTTAATTTTATGTGTACGAGTGTATTGCCTCCATGTATGTGAGTGCACCCGTGTCGTGTAAATGCTGTGGAGGTCAAAAGAGGGCTTCAGAGTCCCCTGGAACTGGAGTTAAGGATGGTTCAGAGCCGCCATGTGGGTGCTGGGAATCGAACCCGGGTCCTCTGCAAGAGCAGTCAGTGCTCTTGACCGCTGAGCCAACTCTCCAGCCCTAAATAATCATTTCTAATGGAAACAACATCTTTCTATATTCCAATTTGTAAAAAGCCCTGAAATAAAAAACATCCATGCTTCACATTTACAAAAAAAAAAGTACAAAATTCTATTCAAGTAGCCCACTGCAGAACTAAGACTATCTTTCCCAATATTCCTGTGGCCATGGCCACATCACATCAGGGGAAAACCAAGATCAGCAATGGCCAGAGGGCAAAATTATTTTTTACAGGACAAGTGTGTTAAGAGACACTGCTCCAAAGTGTAATTTATTTAAGTGTTGTCTGAACTGCTGCAAAGCCCAATGGTCCGGCACTACAGAGACCTGGCTGACTGGTCAGGGCAGCAAGGTACCACTGCCACAGCCACAGGGAGGATCAAAGACACTGCTTATACAAAAATACAAAGGATCCTCTCAAAGAAAAAGGCAACTGTGTAAAACTTGCTAATTAAAAGCAACTGTCTTAGAAAATGGGTTCTGGAGCTCAAAGAACTTAGATCACAAGATTTGAATTAAGGTAGGCACTAGGCTCTCCTGAGACATTTAAAAACTATTATTTAGTTAAAGATCCCAGATCTAGAGTTACTCTCCAGGGCAGAGCAGGCATTCTCTGCCCACAATTACCAGGGCTGCTGCTAGGGGGCAGTCTGCAGGACTGGGACATGCTACAACAGCACTGGGTCCCTGCAGCTGTCTCAGCCTCAGGAGATGAATCAAACTCAGACAGAATTAAAAAGGGGACCTTCACTGGAGCCTCTGCCCTCGGGGCCTGGGCTTGTACCGAGGGCCAAACGAACAGCAGTGGAGTCTGGTGCAGACAGAACAGCACACAGCACAGCAGCAGCAAACAAATGATTGCAGTCTCCTTGCTGGGGACACGCACACTGATTCAGATTCACAGGCACCAGCCACGAGGAGACATCAAGGACCAAAAAGCGAAGGCAGAGGGGCTGTCACTGAAGCCTTAGCTTTGGCTTCATCTGAGACTCAGGCAGTACAAGACTGTCACTCAGATACCACTGCCTTTTGGAAGGGGGGGCTGCATCCACATCTGTGGGAACACTGAGCTTTGTTTTCTATGGCCATGAATAGTCCTATTTATAGCCAAGTTCTGTCATGTCATCCCTCCCCAGTTTTTACTGAGTTTGCTTTCTTGTATTGCATTAAGTGCCTTATATATATATATTAAGATTTAAAAAAAACTTATTTACACTGTGTCTATGTGAACGTATGTGCACATGTGCAGTTACCCAGAGTCCAGAATAGGGTGTTGGATTCCCTAGATCTGAAGTTACAGGTGGCTGTGAGCTGCCCAATGTGGGTGCTAGAAATTGAACTTAGGTCCTCCACAAGAGCAGCAAGTGCTCTTAACTGCTAAGCCATGCTAAGCCGTATCTGTCCAGCCCCAAGTTCCCTCAACTTTGGATGTTAACCCTCTGTGACATGTCTGGCTTCTAATGCTGTCTCCTGTTCTATGGGTTGTTTCCTGGCTGCTTCTTTTGATGACCAGAAGTATTTAGGTTTGATGCAATTCTGTGTGTCTGGTTTTGTTTTTGTTGCCATCTTAGTCAATGTAAAGGACTTTTTCTTCTAGAAGTGTTCTACTGAATGGTAGCTATTCATTACACTGGGCAGTTAACTTAAAACAGGACAAACATTAGAAATTAGAAACTGAGCTCTCAACATCTAGCCACAAGTGTGCAACTGCCCTGCTGTGGATAGAGGCCACCACACTGGACAGTGTAGACACTAAGCATGCTTACTTCAGAAGGTTCTAGTGGATGAACAGGGCCTGAGGTTATTATACAGGATACATGGGAGCACTGTGGGTGCTGACACTAGTAGGAAACCTGATGGGCCTGGTGCTCTACTCTCACAAGGCATCTATACAATCTTCAGAGGATGCAACTGTATCCACTGCCAAGAGCTGACACATCTAGCCATATCCAACAGGCTCCATAACAGTGACGCTGACTCCTACCATTTCCTTTCTTGAGGGTGAATGATTCTGAGTTCATTCTGGTGCCTGTAACTTCTTTGTACCAGATCTGGCCCCAACATTAATGCTGTGGCATCTCATTTCATGGACAGTCAAATGTCCTAAATACAATCCAATTCAATGGACATTTGTGAACTTTTCCAGTAAAACACAGTTTTCAAAAAATATTTTTAGCCAGACGTGATAGCACACACCTTTAATCCCAGCACTCAGCAGGCAGAGGAAGGTGGACCTCTGTGAGACTGAGACCAGCCTCATCTATATAGCAAGTTCCAGGCCAGGTGAAGGCTACAGGGAAACCCTGTCTCAAAAAGACCAAAAAAAAAAAAAAAGTTTTGATTTGCTTCTCTCATATGAAAGCCATGTGCCCTAAACTTTCCAACGTTTCTGTGCTAGACATTTCCTAGTCTTCACCTGGTACTCTTTTACTATAATGGTCATCACATACCTAGCTAGATATCCAATGTATAGATATAGACTGTGGTGCTGGGCCTCGTGGATACCAGGCCACTGCCCTACCAACAGAGCTCCTCCAGCTCTACTCAGTACTTTTCATCTTTTTAGCATTCCTACAAAATCAGGTCTTATTCTGTGTTTCAGATAAAGGCCAAGTGTCTAAGATAACATAAGGGATGGAGCCACACAGAGAAACGAGATCAGCCTTCAACACAGGCCTGTGCTTTTCCCACCAAGCTTATGTGGATTTAAGCCAAGAGCACGCGGCTCTGCATTTACCTTTGCAATCACTACTGCTACCTTCTGCTGGACTCTCCAATACTTTAGCAGAAAATGGAGACGTGGGTTTACTCTGGGCAGCATCTTTACCAAATAAACTAGTGTTTCCAGCGGAGAATGAAAATCCAGTCAGGGAACCAGAGCTTAACGAGCCCAAAACTGAGCTATCAATTTTCTTGCCAAAATTAAATGAGGCACTTGTTGCTCCTGGTGCTGGGTCTACTTTCTTTTCAGACATAAACACCACCTTTTCAGAGGTGTCCTCAGTCTTGTTGCCATGAAACAGAAAGGTTGACTCTTGCTGTACTTTTGCTGAGCTGAAGAGGCCGGGTGGCTGCAGCTCCCCCGGCTCCCTGTTCGTCCCAGGCTCGGAGTTGCTGCCACCGCTGCTCTCAAGTTGCCTCTCAATGGTTGCCAAGTACTTCTCATAGTCTTTAAAGATAGGCGTCAGGTCACAGAGTGGGTTTGTATTCACGTGCTTCACTATCCAATCCCGAACAGAGCAGTTCAATCCAGCCAACTGCTTGTGATAGGCATTCCCAGAGCAGGCCTTGGGAGCATGGCCAGAGGAAGGCTGCTGACTGCTGCCATTAGACTTGGGGCTTAAAATCTTTTTATCAACCAAGGTAGTAGGACCATTTGCAGCAAAAGAACCTGTAAGAAATTAAAGACTGAACATTTGAAAATCCATTGATTAAACTGCCTAGAGTTTGCTTTTTTTTTTTAAGATTTATTTTTATTATTATTTGTTTGGAACAGGTTCTCCCTAAAGCCCCAGCTGGCCTGAAAGACACTATGTAGACCAAGCTAGATCTCATACACATCTGCCTGCCTCTGCTTCCCCAGTGCTGGGATTAAAGGCATGCACCACCACCCCAGCTTATTTTTATTATGCTTAATTATGCATATGTGTCTGTGTGTAGGTATATGCATGTTACTGTAGATACCCAGGAAGGACAGGGGTGTTGGATCCCTGGAGCTAGAGTTATAGGCAGTGTGAGATTCCTGACAAGGGTGCTGGGAACCAAACTCGGGACTCCTGCAAGACAAATATAAGCTCTTCACTGTTGAGTCATCTCCCCAGCCCTTTTAGTTTTTGTGACAGGGTCTTGCTATATAACCCCAGTTGGCCTGGAATTGGTCACCTTCCTGCCTCAGCTTCCTGGGGTGTAAGTTGCCACACTCAGCTAGGTCCAGAGTTTTAGAGTTCTATCTTCTTTTTTTGCTTTTATTGTATCCTATTTCTTGTTCAAAAAGCTTGTATTCACAAAGCAACACTCAGAACTTATCAAGCACATGGTTATCAAAGTACTTGATACATCCTACTCAATAAACACCAAATAGGAGAAGTGTGATGGTGTACGCCTACAACCCTAAAATGTGGAAGCAGGAGGATCAGGAGTTCAAGGCCATCTTCAGCTACATAGCTAGGTAAGAGGCCGAACAGAGCTCCTGGAGCTAAGTGAGACCCTATCACAAAATAACCAAGCACCAGAGAGCACACACTTTCAGCATGAGTAAGACATAATCCAGCCAGCCAGTGTAATTTCTAGGACTTCAATTTATAATCCTGTTCTGTATGTGAATCCCAGGGGTTCTTGACTAACTTGATCAGGACAGGATCAGGTAATCAGTACTTCCTGTACCAACCTCGTTTGTGAAAGCTATGATTAAAGACAGTGTCACTTGAGTTCCCAGTGGCCACTGTGGTGGGAGGCACACAGAACACCCTTGGTACACACAGAATGGATGGATAGGAAGGCAAACCTTCAGAGTCTACAAAAGCGCTTCTCTTTTACCTTTGACCTTTCAGCCAATTCTGAGTCCCCTTTCATAATCGAAGATTTTGAGACTCAGAAAGTTAAGAACCTCACACTAAAGTCACACAGCTGATAAATGGCAGCACTGAGAACAAAACCCGCATCTGTTCTGGCTCAAAGTTTGTGTTCTGCTGACCTACTTGCTCTATAAATAGCCAGTACCTACCCAAGTTCCTTTTCATGGTTACTGTTTTCACTTACACATCCTAGGAGTCAGGGTTAAAAACATCTTTACAAGCTGAGCCTGGTGGTATACACCTACAATCCCAGCATTCAGAAGGTTGAAAGAGAAGTACTGACTGAGTTCAAGGCCAGCTTGGGCTACATAGCAAGACCCTGTCAAAAAACAAAACAAAACCAAAGCCCCCATACAGACAGAATCCTACATATGCAGAGGCTGGGGGGGTGGCTACTCACCAAAGGATGTCTTGGGCTCGGCTGTCTTGGGCTCCGTTGCTGCCTTTGCACTGGTGAAGGATGTGGTACTGGCTGTGCTGTTTCCATTTGTCAGTCCTTCCAGAGGCTTTCCTCCAGGGCCACCACCAAATCCAGAAAACCCTCCTCCAGAAGGCACAACCAAACCTTTAAAACCTTTAAAGGCTCCTCCACCATCGGACTGGAATACAGAGCAGAGCACACTTAGGGAGGTATACCTTCCGTCTTCAAAGACGAGCAAGTGATCGCAGCAGCTCGGCTCAACAGCGCCCAGGCTGCTCTGCCACCTTTACTTATTTATTGGCCGGCATCACTTATCCGATTGGCCTCCAACTTGCTATGGAGCCTAAGACCTTGAGCTTCTGATCCTCCTGCCTCCACCTCCTGAGTGCTGGAATTATCAGCATATACCACCACTCCCAGTTCATATAGTGCTGTGGATTAAACCAAGGGCTTCCTGTCTGCTAGCCCTACACTCTTGTCAAGTGAGCTACAGCCCCAGAAATCTGATTTCTCATCATTAGAAATCTAAATGAGAGGCTGGAGAGAGAGCTTAGCAGTTTAGAGCACTGGCTGTTCTTCCAGCGGACTCAAGCTCAGTCCCCAGAGCCCATGTCTGGTGGCTCACAACTGCCTGTAATTCCAGCTCCAGGGAAATCTGAAACCCTCTTCTAGGCTCTGGAGGTACCTGCACACATGTCATACGGTATACCCACAAGTCTTAAAAAACAAAAAAAAAACAAAAAAAAAAAACTGGGTATGGTAGCGCACACCTTTAATTCTAGCACTCAGAAGGCAGAGGCAGGAGGATCTCTGAGATTGAGGCCAGCTGGAGCTACAAAAGACCTTGTCTCAAAATGAAACAAGATATACCAAATTACCTACAGACAAGCTGTGATACTGTAAGACCTTCAGGACCTTTGATTTTGCACAGGACTTAAAAGCCACATGGTATTTATAGTTGTTTTAGAAACTACTGATAGTTCTGATGAAATCTTGGTGCTAAATGTTATAGTTAAAACTCAATGTGGATTTCGACTGTTCTATATTTAATTACCTTACCAGTGCAAGGGCTCCTGCCTCTCCACCTCCTTCACCTAAGTTTTAGATCAAGGTGCACACCCAGGCCTGCCTAACCTTTTGCAACATGACAGTGTTGTCAGCTACAAACTTCAGGCTGAGAACTATGCAATAAAGTTACAAAAAATAAGAAAGCAGCCAGGCCTTTACTCCCCCACTGGGGAGGCAGAGACATCCAGATCTTTGTGAGTTTGAGGCTAGTCTTGACTACATAATGAGTTCTAGGCCAGCCAGGTACATAGTGAGACCCTGCCTTAAAAATGAAAACCATCGCACAAAATAAATGTCTATCTTCACAGTTTTGTTGGGCTGCATTCACAGCTATCCTGGGCCACATGAAGCCCAGAGGCTAAGAGCTGGATACACAATTTCCATACTGGCCTTCATTTACTCAAGAGCTGGACTGACTGACTACCTACCCTTCCCTGATACAGCCTGCCTTGGCTTCTTTTCATTCTGACCTGGGCTTCACAGTCCTCACCTCAAGCACACACCTTATGTCTCTCATCTGCCACCAGATTTGCACCCACCTGTCACCCATGTTAATTCGTGCCATATACTGTGTCCTCTAGACACACTTCCAAATGGAATCATTCAGGTTGTTCCTTCTTCGCTAACATACTGAGCTTCACATCCATTATCTAGGGGCCAATCCTAAATCAGTAGAAACAAGACCATCCTTCCACTGGAGAGCTGTTTCCTGCCCATCTCCCTAGCAGCACTATACTACACGTAACATGAGGTTCACACTTGGTATTACTCTAAAGCAGCATGAATAAGTTTGTACACTAGGTATTACATTCTAAATATGTACCTATGACCACTGTGCTGAATAGCTTCAGGTGTCAACATGACATACCTGGAAAGAAGGAACCTCAACTGAGAAAATTCCTCTGGATTGGTCTGTGGGCACATCAGTGAGACATTTTCTTGACTGCTGAGTGATGTGGAAGGTCCAGCCCATTATGGGCCTGCCCAGGGTTGTGTAAGAAAGCAGGCTGAGCAAGGCCAGGGGACAAGTCAGTGTGCTCCTCCATGGTCTCCTCCAGGTTCCTATCTTTAGTTCAGTGTTGGATTATGACGTGGGCGTTCGAAGTTCAAATAAACCCCTTTCTCCCCAAGTCTGGTATTTATCATAGCAATAGAGAAGCAAACTAGAACAAACAGAACCATCTCCAAGTCTGCTTATGACTGTTTCTCATCTTGAATTACATGGTATATACAATCTAGGCAAAATTCTTTTATAATTTAAATTATTTTCCTATTAACATATACCACAATTTTATGAGCTGCTCTGAGTGATTTTTTAACTAATTGTCTCCTCAGAACTCCCGTATACTTCCTTCCTTCTTCCTTTCTTTATACATTCCCAAACTTTATAAACTTTTGACATTGGGGCTTGCTGTGCACCAGGTAAAAAGCTGGGTATGGCAACATGCACCTATAACTCCAGGGCTGGGAGGTAGAGACAACAGGATCCCAAGGAGTTAGTGAGCTACAGTTTTAGTGAAAGACTCTGTCTCAAAAAATAAGATGGAGGCTGAGGTCTGGTAAAGCACTTGCCACATACGCACTGAAGACTGAGTTCAGATCCCCAACACCCACGTGGGCAGGGGTGGTAGCCCGCCTGTGATTCCAGGGCATGGGAAACAGAGACAGGATCTGCAGAGCAAGCTGGCTAGCTACATCAGCAAAATCAGCAAGCCCTGGATTCAATATGTAGAGAGTGACAATGCCTGCATCTGGTCACCACACATGCCATAAACACGTGAGTGCACATGCAAACACACTAAACCTTGGAAAATAGCTAGGCCTGGTGGTGCAGGCCTGTAATCCAACTAATCCAAAGGCCAAGGCAGGAGAATTCCAAGTTCAAGATCTGCCTGGGAAAACAGGGCTAGGAATAGTGCTCATTGGTAAGAGTGCTTGCAGGAGGCCTTAGGTTTAATTTGTAGCATCACAAAAACAACAACAAAACCCACTTTGGACAATGTGATAAATACACCTATGTTTAAGACAGGGTCTTGAACTCCTGTGCTCAAGCAATACTTTTTCCTCAGCCTTCAGAGTAACTGGGACAACAGGCATGTGCCAATATGCCCAGCTATTATTTTGTAATGATGTCTTTTTCATCATTTCTCAAAGGATGAAAATGAATTTATAATCTTTACTTGAAAAAGAAAGGGATGAGCCAGACATGGTGGTACATGCCTTTAGTCCCAGCACTCAGGAGGCAGGCAGGCAGATCTCTGTGAGTTCATGGTCAGCTGGGGCTACGGGGAGACCCTGTCTCAAAGACCCCAAAAAAAGGGGGATATGTAAGAACAACTCACTCGTTTGGTTATTTTTTTTATACAGGGTTCACGCAGCCCAGGCTGGTGTCAAACTCATTGTAGTCAAGGACGACCTTGAACTCATCTTCCAGCTTCTGCCTAAAGTGCTGGTTTTATAGGTGTGAACTACCGTATCTGTCATAGTTCGCTTTTTTATTATTTTCTTGAGACTAGGTCTCACGTGTCCCAGGTTAGCCTCACCATGTAGCCAAGTATGGCCTTGATCTTCTGCCTCTACTTCCTGAGTGCTTGGACTGGTAACAGGAACTTGCTTAGTTTTATAGCTCAGTTATTTTTAAATTATATATATACATATACATATACACACACACTAAATATTTTACTGGTTTTTTTGAGGGAGGGGGACATCTTTTTGAGACAGGGTCTCCCTGTAGCCCCAGCTGTCCTGGAACTCACTATGTAGACCAGGCTGGCCTTGAACTCACAAAGATCCACCTGCCTCTGCCTCCCAAGTGCTGGGATTAAAGGCGTGTGCCACCACGCCCAGCTAAATATTTTACTTAAATTTTTTTAAAAATTCATTATTTTATGTGTATGCATGTATTGCTTGCATGTAGGTAAGTGCACCTGTGTTGTGCAATGCCCGCGGAGGACAGAAGAGACTGTCCGACCCCCTGGAACTGGAGTTATGGACAGTTGTTAGCTGCCATGTGGGTGCTGGGATTCGAAGCTGGGTCTTCTGCAAGAACAAGTGTTCTTAACCACTGAGTCATCTCTCCAGCCCTATTTATTATTTTTATTTTATGTGTATTGCGTGTATTGCCTGCGTGTAGGTAAGTGCACCCATGTTGTGCAATGCCCACGGAGGACATAAGAGGCTGTTGGATCCCCTGGAACTGGAGTTATGAACAGTTGTTAACTGCCATATGGATTCTAGGAACCAAACCTGGGTCCTGTCAAGAGCAGCCAGTGCTCTTAACTGATGAGCCATCTCTGCAGTCTGTTTCTCCCTTCACCCCTCCTCCTTGAAGTCTTGACTTTAAGAGAAAAGCTTGAATACCACATAGTGTGGCTGAGTAGGTTTACTCTGAAGTGGCCACACAGGTCTATTTCCAAGCACCTCTCCTGCCTGACCAGATTCCACATCACCAAGACTATGTTCACAGGTCTGGAACCCACTGAGGGGTGAGGTCTACAGGCAGAGGAGTTCATGAACATACAATGATTATGCAACACTGGTCACATGACTACAGCTCATTTATCTTTCTGAGCACAGGAATCAAATACAGAACATAACATACAACCCTAAACACTGGGGCATGACATGCTTCTCCTGTAATCAAAGGGCTCTCCCAGAAGTGGCTAAGACTGAAGTACACTGTCACCCCTTGCAGCACTTCTTAGATTTCCCATTTTGCCTCTTCATACTGTCACTCTACTTTATCTGTCAATATTCATCTTATTTATGAAATACTCACCAAATATTAACTGCATGAGCTCCCTTATTGGCATTTTTATGCCTCATATTTTCTTCTAGCTCCCATCATTTATAACAAGAAGCAAGCACTTTTAAAAAGCATTTGCAGTCTGGTGAAATGGCTTAGCAGGTTAAGACAATTGCTTGCCAAGCCTGACAACCTACTAAGTTCAATCTAGGGACCCACATGGTAGATAGAGACAGCTTATGTCCACAAGTTGTCCCCTGACGTCCATGCAAGTGCCTCCCTCCCCCAATAAATATATATATACGTACACACCTAAAATAAATGTTTAAAAGTTTTTTTGAGAGGCTGGAAAGACGGCTCAGTGGTTAAGAGCACTGGCTGCTCCTGCAGAGGACCCAGGTTCAGCTCCCAGTACCCACATGGCAGATAACAATCTGTGTAACTCCAGTTCCAGGGGACCTGATGCCTATTCTGATCTCCAAGGGTACTGCACGACACAGATGCACTTACATACATGCAGGCAATACATTCATACACATAAAAAGTTTTTTTAAAGCATGTAAGAAGTTTTTAAAAGCATCTGCTGACATAAACGCACTGCCATTCAGAAATCAAGCCACTGTTAATACAAAAGCCGTAAGGAAGCACTCACTTCAAGTCCGACATTTCTGCGCTTTGCTTTCTTTATGGCTCTATTCTTCAAGACTTCTTCACTGGCCACTGAGAATGTTCCCGCCTGCAAGAACACACAAGTGAAATAGCACAAAAGTAATGCCAAAAAGAGATTAGTGCTGAACACAACAGCTAGACTAGACAGTTACTTGCGTTTGAGGAGATGAGCATTTCAGATAGAGCTTGTATCTATCACCTATAGACCTTTGTCGATTCCAATTCTAATCAGGCAAATCATGACTCTTACAGCTATAAATCCAGGCTTCAAATCCCAAACCAAAAACAGGAATATAAGAACTTCTGAAAAGACTAAGACCACTGAAACTTTGGCACAAAAATATTCCTGGCCAGCACCTCAAACGGTTTGGACATATATTCTAAGAAAGTAAAGTTCATAAAATTGCCTTGCCATTAAGAAATACAAACCATCACCCAAAAACTGAACGGTCCCTTACCACTCATGAATGGTTGACCATGGAGCCCATTCTAAAACCAAGTGTATGAATTTTACTAGCGCAGTTTTCAAAACTGTCGGAGAGGGTCTTGCATATACTAAACACTGAGTTTCACCACTGTGCCTCAGCCCTAGCTTGTTTTGCAGAGCAGCCCTGCTTAATCTGCCCACTGTCCAAAAGGCCAGAGACGCCAAGGCCTCAAACGACCCTAGCCAACTGTTCTCTTGCGGTGTGCTGAACGTCCTATCTATAACCAGCCACTGCTAAAGACCTCCCCCTTTATCTCTTCTTCACCCACGGGGCTGCAGCCAAACGTTCTCAACACAAAATTCTTATCGACAGCCATGGTGGCTCACACCTGTGATCTCAACACATAGGAGGCTGACAGCAGAATGACAGTTCAAGGCCAACCTGGACTACAAAGTGAGACCATGTCTCAAAAACAAGACAACTGTCACCTAGTTACTTCAGATCATTTTAATATTTTTTAAAAATATTTTTAAAATTATTTTTATGTGTATGAGTGTATTGCCTGCGTGTAAGTAAGTGCACCTGTGTCATGCAATGCCTACGGAGGACAGAAGAGGCTGTAGGATCCCCTGGAAGTGGAGTTACAGTTGTTAGCTGCCATGTGGGTGCTGGGATTCGAAGCCGGGTCTTCTGCAAGAACAACCAGTGTTCTTAACCACTGAGCTATCTTTCCAGCCCCAGATCATTTTAATATTAAAGGATTCTCATACCCATAATAAGGGATCATTTGGTAACACTTATCCCAGTTAATGGTAATTAACTGAATACAATCCTTCCATACCCATTTCAGTAGGATCTGTTCAAACTGGAGTTATTTTACTACTGAACATTGAAATATCAAAACAAATCATTATATGGTAGTCCAGAACGTTCCTAAGATCTAGGGAAAACAATCCATAACCAAAGACTTGGTGAAAAACCAAGTCAGTTAAAGGTCTTGTGAAAACACACCTGTGATTTTGGTTTCCCTAAACATATTAGAGTACATATTACTACCGAGAAGAAGGAAGATACCAGCTTATGAATAGGCTTCAAAGTCCTTTTTGATTTCCTGATTCCTCTTTCCTTTACTTAGCACTGCAATATAAACCTAGCTGAGCTAGCTACAGAGTTCCTTCCTGAACTGACCGAGAGCATCACACTACTAAAAGAGGCACTACAAATGAAAAGATCTCATTACAGAAGGCAATTCTAACTCTGCAGGCAAGGAGGTAATTCCACGCCATTGTATAATCTATTTCAATCAATGCAATTGCTGGACTTTCGTATCTACCATCAGAATAGCAAACAATGGCAGGTCAGAGAAGCACTGGGGCAAGGGTGACCCTCTCAAACCTAGACTTATGGAGACAGCAGACTGAGGTATAATGGTGTACCAAGTGCTAGCACTATGCTAATTCCATGACTAGATTAATCAACTTGTCCTTTATTCATGACTAACACACTCAAAACGGCCGGTTTAGAATGCTGCAGAATGTGATTCTGGAGGAAGGTGCTGCTACACAGAAGGAACAGACACGAGTAGGAAAGCACACTCCAACATGAAGAACAAATCTCTACAATGTGTTGAAAGCAACAGCTCCTAAGGAGTCTCAGTCTCTCCTGCTCAGTGTTCCTAAAGGTTCTGTAATCCCATCACAGCTCTGCACAGGAATTCTAACATGAATTTAGATGTCATCATTAAGGAATCATTCTTAGGAACAGCTTTTTACCTCTTCTGCTTCATCTTCTTGATCCCAATTCCTATCTGTCAATTCCTTCTCAGCAATTCTTTTGGCCATTTTTTTGAACCTAGATTACAGAAACAAGAGTAAAATGTTAAGTTTTCTATGACAAGATAGCTCTTACAAATAAGTTCCAGGCTAGGCATGGCGACACATGCTGTAAGCCCAGTACTTGGGAGGCAGATTTCTGTGAGCTGTGCCTCATCTACATGGCAAGTTCCAGGTCAGCAGGGGCTACAGGGAGATCCTGTCTCAAAACAAATCAAAATACCCCAAACAAAAATAAATGCAGTCCAGCATAAAATATAGTAAAAACCACTCCTGATGATTGTAGAAACTGCTTCAGTGAGAACTTTATAGGTTGCTAAGGCTCGAGGGGCACATATATAATACAGATCATCTGAAGGCACAGGGAAGATGCCTAAGGAATACAGGAACCTCTGTAAACACTAAGGCAAAGCCATTTGGAAAGATTATAACGGACATCCTATGCAAATATTCTTGCCACATTCTTAATATTTAAGACTCTCCAAATATTTTAAATTCTCATAAAGACGATATGTTTATTCTCAAGAATTTTAATAAGGCACTGGAAATACCTTTGCAACAAGAGTTTTCTTAAGGTTAAATAAAGAAATGTCTCCCAATTAACATCTACTGGCCCTAAATTATATTCTGTGCAAAGCTAAGACATTATTTACAAGTTCAAAATATTATCAATATGGACTTAACATTCTGAAAATGTACACTGTTTCAAAAATACATACTCATTTTATCTCTTCTAACTATGGCAGTGAGGGAAGAGAGGAGTTGGGAGACTGGCAATAGTGTCTCTGAAGAGGATTATTCAGTCACCTACCAAAGAAGGCACTTTTGTTCACCCCTTAAAGTTGTAAAGTTACTGATTCTAATAACAAATGCTTTGCTGTAAACAAACCAGCAACAACAAAAGGAAAAAATAAATCCAGCTGGATCCAACAGAGGGCATTGTTAGCATTGCTGTTTTGGCTTCTTTAAGGCTTCACAAGAGAATGGACTTAAAAAAAACCACCTTTCCACTTTCTGACTGCCAGGGCTGCCAAAACCCACCTGGACTCCTTCCTGATTCCTTTCTCCACTCATCTGTGCTCAGCCTAGCAACCCTAGAACACCAAAGTTACCAAGATACAAACATCTACCACCCAATGCTCTCCAGAGTAAGATTAGCACCTATAGAACAGATCAAGTGATGGCATTCCACTGTCCTCCAAGGTCTGCTGCCTAGGGGCTCTTTCAATATATCCCAAGGGTCTCTGGGATTTCTCTTATAGGTACTTATTTCCTGATTATAGATTTTTAAAATTAACTATTCTAAAATCTAATGCATGAAACTTAATACCATTTACTGAGAATCTTCTTAAATCCCTCCTCCAAAACACTTGCAAAGTTTTCTATTATTCTCATGATCAGAAGAAGCTACAATCCTTTACTAGAACTCTTCAGAGATGGTCTCCACAGGGTCATCTGTAAATTTTCCTAGTCATTATCTAACACTCCACCAGAGGGCAGAAGGGGTAAGCGGATGGACCGGTTATGTTTACTATTTAAAATTATGGGCAAAAGTGGTGGGGTAGAAAATGAAAACCATACTGTATACAATTTTAACATCTAACTCATACTTTTTTTTTTTTTTCCTTTTTGAGACAGTCTCCCTGTAGCCCCAGCTGTCCTGGAACTCACTATGTAGACCAGGCTGGCCTTGATCTCACAAAGATCCACCTGCCTCTGCCTCCCAGCTAGGACGCCCAGCTCCTAACTCATACTTTCAACAGGTATAACTGACACTCTAAATTAATGGAGGTGCTTCCATTTTCCTATTTATCCTCAGATTACCAGAGGGCAGGGATCTTAGTTTACTGAGGCACTCCAAATGCCCTAAACCTGCCTGGTTCATAATCTGTTGAGGAATCAGTGATCTGAGGCGTACATATTTGAGAAAATACAGGATACTACTACTGGCATCCAGTACAAACTGGGAGATCCTGGGCTAGAGGAAGTGCTGTGAAACTGCAATGAAAAAGCCTACTTTAGAGTGGTGCCTGGAACAGGGGGAGTGTAATAGTACTGAAGAGACAAATTTTGTTAAAAGCAAATAGGATAATATTCCATTTTTAACTCCAAAAGTTAAAAGCTGTAGTGTGGAAAACAAAGCAGATTGAATAAGCCCGTCTTTTACAAGAGTGTTTCACCGGTAGGGACGACACGTCGGAGGCTGAGGCCAGTCTAAGGCATACACCAAGTTTAAGGGCGGCATGGGATATGCATACACACAGTAATTTTTTTAAAAGTATTACTTTTTTGAAAGGAGACAGAATAAATATCTCTGGAAAGTTCAGAACGACCATTACGGCTGTTCCATTAAGCAGTGCTGGGTTAGAACTCAGGTCTTTGTGTGCAGCCCAGGGGGCCTCTGCCAAGGTGTTTCCATGGAAATCTGATACAAGGAGTTACAACCCCCGGCCCAGAAGGGTTTGCAGAGCGTTTAAGGGCAAAATGCCACCAAGTTACGAAATGCTTTCCGGAGACGACTCGCTGAGGAACAGACCCGAAAGGGGACTTCAACAGGAAAAACGTTACAGCGAACCTCCGCTCGTCGAGGCACACGGAAACACGGGTCTGCAGGTCCTTCCGAGCCCGGCGCGGGTGGAAACCGACCACCCGGCCCTAGGAGCCCCAATCTCAACACTGGCTCCGGATAGAAGCGGGTGACCCGAGTCCGGCAACGGCCCCCACCGCCCCCCGGCGAGCTCCGCCACGAGGGTCTGTAGCCGCGTGAAAGGAGGCCCAGGCTTCACAAACCGCCGCCGCGTCGGCGTCACCGCCCCAGGGCGCCCTCCCGGCCCACGTCCCCGGCCTCCGCCGCGGCCCGTAGCCTCTCAAGTCCCCGGCCTTTCCCGTAGCCCCTCACGTCCCCGGCCTCCCCCGCGGCCCGCAGCTCGTAGCCCCTCAAGTCCCCGGCCTTTCCCGTAGCCCCTCACGTTCCTGGCCTCTCCCGCGGCCCGTACGCCCCCAAGTCCCCGGCCTTTCCCGTAGCCCCTCACCTCCCAGGTCCCGCTGGCTGGGACGTGGGCGCGGCGGCGAGCAGGGCCGAAGCAGCCTCTGGACACTTCCGGTGTGGTGAGGGCCTCCGAGGCCTGAGTGGTCAGCAAACTCCGAGGCCCAACAGCATGCCCTCGAACCCTCTTCTCTGTGTACTGCACGGAGAGAAAGAGACATCCATTCAGCCCGAAGCCGCTAGAAGCCGGGGAAAAGCGCGCTCCGAGCCGCCATTTTGTAACTCGAATCTACCCCTCACAACCAATTCGAAAAAAGGGAGGAAAGAAACGCCCGCGTCGGGCTGCTGGGCAAGCGCGTCGGAGCTTCGGGCAACAGCACCTCTTCCGGCTGGGCGTCTGGGGTCACACAGCGCATGCGCACGCCTCCTTGTGCCTGGTCGCGGGGAGGAGCACGAGATCTCGCGCATGTGCACGCAGACAGGGTGGACTGGCGCAGCCCGCGGTGCGGGCGAACCTGGAGCACGTTGGTCACGTGTTAGCCGCCGTCCGCCTTGGAAGCGGTTCGCTTGCCTGTCGCTGCGGAGTCTGGCTGCTTCTCTGGAGCGGGCCAGGGCCTCGCGATCTCCGAGGTCGGCCGCTTCTGCCGCCGCCGTCCGTCCGCACGAGAGGAGCACCTGCCGTCGGGTTTCCTGTCGGGAGCGGAGGGCGGAACTGACTGGCCGGAAGCAGCGCGACCAGTGGCGTGTCCTCACCTGGGTCCTGGTCGGGACTCGGGGCTTTATCTTCTAAGCAGTGTTGGGTTGTTCTACGGGACTCGGTCTTGTCCAACGCTGCTTGGTAAGCGTTAAAGAGCCGGTTCCCCACGTGGTACCGCACGCCTTTAATCCCAGCACTAGGGAGGTAGAGGCAGGCGGATTTCTGTGAGTTCAAGGCCAGCCTGGTCTACATAGTGAGTTCCAGGACAGCTGGGGCTACAGGGAGGCCCTGTCTCAAAAA